TTTTTATCCTCACCCAAGGACATTTTTTCGATATTTTGTTCAGATAGAGTGGGAGGGAGAGAGAGAGAGAAACATTGACATGAAAGGGACACATCGAGTGGATGCCACCCCCACAACCCAACCAGGGCCGAGGACAAACTGCAACTGAGATACGTGCTCTTAGTGGCAACCGAACCCATGTCTCTCTGGACCGCAGGCCGACGCTCTAACCGCTGAGCCAAACCAGCCAGGGCTCTCCCATTTTTATTTAACCATGTAGCCCTTCAGCATTTCTTTGTTTTTCATTTTACTCTTAACTTTCACTAACAAGAAAACAAGAGTGGATGCCAGGTAGTACCAGATTTGGCTTCAGTGTTGGGTACTACAGGGAGCTCTGGGGATGTGGCGGACTGGAGAGGAACAGAAGCTGCTACTTACTCCAGGTAAGTAGCAGCTTCTGTTCCTGGGACTCTCTGGTTTCCAGGCTGACACTCTACTGCCGAGCCAAACTGGCCAGGGCACATAATAAACATTTAATTAAACTTTTTAAGAGTAGTATTTTAAAATAATTGTTGCCTGTGTTTTTAAGTTAATGGCCAATTTTTAGCATTAGCAGAGGCAAAAACCCAAGTCTAGACTATGGCATGACATTCCCTACCCTGGCCTCTTTTCTTATCTTCATAGTGACAGGACTCCACATCCCCCCCTGAAAGCTGCCTTCCACTTTGTATGTGAACCTATACAAAATGATGAATCCAAGAATGTTCACATGTGCAGTGAAGGCCTGGGGTGGGGAGCAGTAGCAGGGTGGAAGGGGGTCAATGGGGGAGAAAAGAGGGAACATCTATAATACTTTCAACAATAAAGATAATTTTTTTTTAATCCTCACCCAAGGATACTTTTCCATTTATCTTCGGATAGAGTGGAAAGGAGGGAGGGAGGGAAGGAGGGAAGGAAGGGGGGAGGGGGAGAGACAGATGACAGACATTAATTGTTTGCCTCCTACACGACCCCCACCCTGACTCCGACCAGGGCCGGGGAATGAACCGTAACTGAGGTATGTGCCCTTGACTGGAATCAAACCGATGACTCTTTGGTCCATGGGCCAACGCTCTAACCATTGAACCAGAGCAGCCAGTAAAGATAAATATTTTTTAAATGTTCACATGATTTTGCCCTGTCCGGGTGGCTCAATCAGTTGGAACATCATCTTGTACACCAGAAGGTTGCAAGTTTGATTCCCAGTTAGGGCATATACCTAGGTTGCAAGTTCAATCCCTGGTCAGGGTGCATATGGGAGGCAACTAATCAATGTTTCTTTCTTTCTTTCTCTCTCTCTCTCCAAAATTAAAATTATTCACATGATCTTGTGAAAATGGGTCCAAAAAGAGCTCCATCACCTACCTCTCTCCCTCACTCACCTCCCCAACCCCCCAGCCACTCTGCTGTTCCTTGATTCCCAGGTACAGTCCTGCCTCGGGGCCTTTGCATTGCCGTTGGCTCTCCCTCTCAAGCATGTTTGCCCCTCATTTTTCTTTTTCTTTTTTAATTGAGATATAGTTGACATAAAACATTGTATTAGTTTTAGGTGTAAAACAATGATTTGATATATGTATGCTTGTATTGCAAAAATAGTTACCACAATGAATTTTGTAAATGTTTATCACCTCACATGGTTACAATTTTTTTTCTTGTGATAACATTTGAGATCTCTCAGCAACTTTCAGACATACAATACAGTATTGTTAACTATAGTCACCATGCTGCACATTACTATCTTTTTTATTTTTTATTGATTTTTTAGAGAAAGAGGAAGGGGGAGAGAGAAGCATTAATGTCAGAGAGATCCCAGTTCTCATCGATCGATAATCCACTTTCTTTTTTTAGTATGTTTTTAATTGATTTTCCAGAGAGAGAAGAAGGGGGAGAGAGAGAAACATTGATTGGCTACCTCCTGTACGACCCCCCCCTGAGAATCGAGCTTGTAACCTGGGCATGTGCCCTGACCAGGAATTGAACCAGATCCTCTAAGTCCATGGAATGACGCTCAATCCACATGAGCCACACCAGCAGGGCAATAACCTACTTTGTCTCTAGAGACACAGAATTATACAGTAGGTGGGCTTTGGGGAACTACTTTCATTTAGCATAATGTTTTCAAGGTTCATGTAGGTTGTAGCATATATCAGTACTTCATTCCTTTTTATAACTGAATTATATTCCATTATGTGTCTAGTTTACATTTTATCTGTTTATCAGGTGATGGACACTGAGGTTTCTACTTTGGCTATTGTGAAGAATGCTTTTGTGAACATTCACATACAAGTGTGTGTGTGTGTGTGTGTGTGTGTGTTTCCAATTCTCCTGGGTATATACTCAGGAGTAGAATTGCTAAGTCATATGGTAACTCTGTTTAGCTTCCTGAGGAACTGCCAGACTATTTTCCACAGCAGCTGTACCATTTTACATACCCACCAGCAGCATTTGAGGGTTCTGATTTCTCCACATCCTACTTGTTAATTGTCTTTTTTATTTTATTGTCTGACATTTTGATTGTAGCCAGCCCAGTGGGTATAAAGTAGGATTTTTTCTTTATTTATTCTTTGAAAAAAAAACCACACACTACATCCTCTATAGAGTAACCCTACCTGCCAGAACAAAACAAACACACTTTTTCTCCCTAGCTGAAACAGAACCACATGAGGGAAAGAGGAAAGTGGAATCTCTGTGGCCTATCTTCAGGATTCACCACCAGAAAACCCGCTATATTTTTGACCTCTTCTATAAGCGGAAAGCCATAAGCAGAGGTAATTGGCTAGATTTTCTCTTGGCCTTTCCAACTTGAGTATCTTTGAGATTTACTTAAGTAATGGCTCTATTCTTGCAACCTCAGCAAGTTTCGTGGTTTTTCTTACCACTGAAGGGGAAGGCAGTATTGGATATTCTATTAATGAAGAGGAGCGATGGGCCAGGGTGGGGCAAGCTTTGTTACATCATGGTCTGATGCACTTTCCTTATCTTTTTGACAGAACTGTATGAATATTGTATTAAAGAAGGCTATGCAGACAAAAATTTGATTGCAAAATGGAAAAAGCAGGGGTATGAGAACTTATGCTGCCTGCGGTGCATTCAGACACGGGACACCAATTTTGGGACAAACTGCATTTGCCGGGTCCCCAAAAGCAAGCTGGAAGTGGTAATGGCTCTATCCCTGTAATGTTTGACAATCGAGTTTGATGTTAACTTTCACTTCAGAATTATGCTCTAGTTGACACCAAGGGAGTTTATATTCTTTTGGGGCTGGAAATAATTTGGTTGCTTGGTGTCCTGCTGGCCATTCTCTCCCACCCCCATCCCAGAAGTGAGTCCCTGTCCAGTAGTTTGGCAGTTGTATTTGCTATGCCTGGGGCCAGTCTCAACTCCACCTTTGGGAAAGTTATTGAACTCCATGCCTCACTTACAAAATGGGGGTCACAACACATACCCCTAAGGTGCTTGGGAGGACTGAGTTGGGGACGGGTGAGACAGTCAACAATACTCACCTTCAGTTGCCCTTTTTTCTAGGCCTCCTTTTCCTCAATTTGACACTTTAATCACACTCTATTTCTTTTGTCAGAACTTTCTGTTCCAAACCTCAGGAATGGTTCTGGGTATACAGTGGCACAAGCTCTTCTGAAATGGGGCTGCAGGAGAGAAGTCCCTGGGATGTTGACCATTAGTGGCCTTTGAGTGCATTCCCTTGGCTGACCATTGTGGGTCCAGTCAGGAGCTCAGGCCAGAATTTCCATCTTCTGGCTTGGCCTTTCATAGTCACCACAGGGACCCTTTACTCTGCAAACTAGTTAGTTTGTAGAGTTTCAGCTCTGAGCCAAGGGCTTTAACTCAGTAGGTGGCGCTCTCTCTCAATGATCTGGGAAGTCAAGGACACAGCATTCTGAGCAGTGGGAAGTGCAGGAGGGCTGCCTCCCCAAAGAAAGGTTATGGGTGTTAGGTTTTCTGGGGCAGAGAGGGGTGGCAGAGCTCCTCTGAGACCACCAGGATTCAATGGTAGTGTCTGGTTGAGGGTATTGCCCCAGCCTTGTGGCCGGAGCAGAGCCTGCTTTGGATTTAGTTGGGTTTCACCATCAAATCTTGCTTGTTTTGGGTCTTACTCCAACAAAGTAAAAAAGAAAATAAATATAAAACACTGCCCTGGGATCTTCTGTGTGCTGGGAAGGCCCCTGGCCAGACATCAGGCCACACCTGGCCTGGGAGACAAAACTGTTCTGCTACCGTACAGATTCAAGTTCACACTGTTCTCTCCCCATGCCCCACTGGAAAGTTCCCCAGCCCAGAGAAGGCTGTGAGCCCCCTGAGCAGTAGAAGACCCCCTTCCAGCTCATTAGCAGGGTATGTCATGCTAACTTTGCAGAATAACAAGAATCACACAGGTTACCTTTTTGGATGGGGGGAGCATGTTTAATTTGCATAAATTAAATGCACCTAGTGATGTAACTTCAGCATCAACAGCTCCTGTTTCCATTTTCGTGAGGGAACCAAATTTTTGCCATCCAGAACTGTCATGGAGGAGTTTCTGAGGAGTGCCCTATAGGTAGTAACTGTCCCATTGCCAGCCTTCCCAGTGGGAAGATTACTACATCTGTGTTTGTTGGGGGGGGGGGGCGGGCATGTGGTCAGGATACAGTATCTCAGCTGTCTTCTGTTGCAGGGCCGGATCATTGAGTGCACACACTGTGGCTGCCGTGGCTGCTCTGGTTGAGGCCCTTAGGCCCTGACCCCTCTCCACCCAGGACTTTGGACTTCACAGGTATCTGCCTGTCATGCCACCCCTTTCCTGATAGCAGCTCTTCTTCCAGAGCAGGCCGAGTTGGAACATGGTCTCTACGTGTGAAGGCTTTGGTGTTCATCAGCTGTTATTTGTAGAAATAAAACTTGTAAACCTTTGGCCCCTGCGATAGTTCTTTCACTGAGCCAGCAGTCTGTGGAGCCCAGTGGGAGCGCGCCAGGCCCTTGGGATTCAGTCCCGACTCCAACCTCTTTAGGTACCAGGTGACCGTGATCAAATTCACTTTCCTTATCAGTCATGGGGATGACAACCTCTCAGGTGAGGACAGCCTGAGATGATGTGCCGAAGTGGCCCAAGCTGTGTTGTCTGTCGTGAACTTGTCAGACACCCTAGGCCCAGCATTTGTCATTGTACAAAATACTGCAGCTCTTAACTCTGGCCAAACTTTGTCATGCTTGAGACTACACCAGCACATTCATTTGTCTTTAATATGAAAGGGACTTCTGGAGTTCCCACAAAGTGCTGTGAAAACTGTGCACTCTGTTCCAGCTCTGCTGGAGGTCCTCTTGGGTCTCCCCATCACCTGCCCCCAAGGCCTCTGTCCATATCCGCCTCAGGAACAGTGTCTTGGTCCCCCTTGGGCTTGGTCCGGAATTTCTGCCATGGGTGGGGGGTTTCATCTGCTGGCATCACTTTCAGCCACTGCTTATAATAAGCTCGAAAACCATCAATTTTCTCCAAGTAGGTGTTTTTTCCTTTGTACTGTAATTGGAAAAGCATGGAATGCAAGGGTTCAGAGCCACAAGTAGAATCACTACACACTGCCCATAGCTAATCCCAACACACAGCAGCTGGCTCAGGCCCCAGGGAAGCTGTGGAAAGGGAAGAGGGCACAAAAGCTGTTTAATACCTGAGTATACTATAGAAAAGCGAAGTTGCTATACCATGAGGCAGACCCAGATTCCCAAATACTAACAGTCCTTCCTAAATTTGTGTTGTTCTGCTCCTGTACCCAAGAATGTCACCCCAGTCCCCCAAGCTAGAAATGCTGTGCCCCACCAACTCTGCCTCCTGGTCTGCTGAGTGCCACCCCCTCAGCACAGCCAGTCTCCCTTCTGACCACCAGCTCAGCACTGCTGCCAGTGGTCTCTATGGAGAGGTGGAAACGAGGTACCAGGCAGATACCAAAAAAAACACAAAAAACCCAGACATAAAAGTATCAAATAAAGACCACATGATGTTGATTCAAAAGATTTAACAATGGCCAGTGTGGCTCAGTGGATGAGCATCAACCCATGCACCAAGAGGTCGCCAGTTCAATTCCCAGTTAGGACACATACCCAGATTGTTGGGCCCAATCCCCAGTGGGGGGCATGCAGGAGACAGCCAATCGATGTTTCTACCTATCTAACCCCCATCTCTCTAAAATCAATAAAAGAAAAAATAAATTTTTTAATTAAATAAAATGTAGGATATTTAAAGAAAAGAAAAACAATGCTAAAGTTGTATGTATCTAATAAAGCCTGAAAGTACATAGAGCAAAACCTTCACAATCACAAATAGGAAAAAAGTCCACTCATAAGGGAGTACGAATGTATGATTTCAACACAATAAGCTTAAGTGGTTTGGTAGTCTGGGAACTGCTGACAACCTGAGAAGACCCGTAGTGGGCCCTACGCCACAGAGTGAAGAGACAACCTACTTACTAGAAGATATTTGCAACATGCAACCAACAAGACTAGTATCCAGGATACATGAAGAACTCTGCGGAATCAATAAGACTAACAACTGTTCAAAGATACCCAGCTATGCTCTGTGCCTGGCATACTCTCCAATGCTGTCTCACTAATTTCTTACTAAGCCTTCAAAATGGCACTCATGCATCACACCTGCACAGCTGTCATTGACCCCATGCCCCCACAGCCTGGTGTGTCCTTGCTGACTTGTCTCCCTATCCATTGGGATGGTGCTCCTCCAGGCCACAGATGCTCTGGAGGAGTTCAGCACAGGGTCTAACTCAGTAGACCTAAAAACTCAAACCCCAGCCCGGCCGGTGTGGCTCAGTGGATTGAGTGTTTTCCCACTGACTGAGAGGTCCCAGTCTGATTCCCAGTCAGGGCACATGCCTTGGTTGCAGGCTCAATCTCCAGCAAGGGGTATGCAGGAGGCAGCCGATTGAGTTTCTCTCTCATCAATGTTTCTATTTCTCCTTTTTCTCTAAAAAATCAATAAAAAAATATTTTTAAAAAAACTAAACTCCCAGATTCTGATATCCTCAGAACAGCAGAGAGAGAGAAGTGGCCATTACAGAACAGATTCTATCACTGCCCTACTGCTGTCCCTTCATTTGACAACAGTCCATATTGGGGACAGGCAGTTGGCAGGCACCAGGGATCCAGGTAAACAAGGCAGAGAGTCTTCACCTCTAGGGACTTATAATTTCATGAAGGTGAGAGTTACACATGCGCACATGTAAGAGTATAGGCTGTGCAACATGGTGAAAAGGTGCTGTATGTATATAATGGGAAGGGAGAGAGGCACCAGCTGGGTATCTTCTGAGAAAGCCATTTAAACTGAGACCTACAGGGTGAGATGGTGCTAGTCATGTGAAAAAGCAGGGGGAGCCTATTTAAGGCACATAGAATGCACACAGCCTGAGGCAGGAAAAAGGCTGGTGTTATCTAGAAAGGACAGAAGTCAAATGGGACTGACAGACTGAACAAAGGGAAGAGTGGCCTGAGAAGAAAGCCACGTAGACAGGGGCTTGCAAGCTGTGGTCTAGAGGGTTTGGGAGTTCTAAGGGCAGCCACTGACAATTTAAAGCAAAAGAATACCAATCCCAGAAGACCAGAACCAGGGATGGGGGGTGGCACTGGCTAAGGAGACAATGGGCACAGTAGAGCTTGGTGCACATACCCGGTCAAAGGTGGGGGGGTACTGGGCTGCAAACTCCAGCTGGCGGATGACCACTTCATTCACTGGGACTCTGTTCTGCCTCATGTCCTTCAGGATGTTGATGAGATAGGTGTAGTCCAGCTTCTTGAGGGCTGCATTGATGAGGGTGCTATAGATGTGGGTGTTGGGGGTCATCTGGGATTTCTGGAACATCACAGACATACAAACAGTGAGATGATGGTGACTGTTGGGGCAATGCCTGCTGCAGCATGTCCAGCTTGGTGAGTTACCCTGCTAGTCAAGTCTGCTCTTCAGACCAGTGACCAGAAGGGTAGAACCTCATAGCAACAATGGGTTGCACTGCCCACTCCAAGGTGCCAACTCTGTGGGCCCATCCCACATGGCTTATCCTCTCAGTCCTGAAGAACTTGGAGAGAGAGAATGTTGCTCTCAGAGATCAGTGGACTAAGGCAGTAAATCACGGGCAGAAGACCACCTCCTCAGTTCTTGGCTGTGGGTTTACTGCACACACACCCCCCAAGAATTCTGATAAGTTCCTGCTCCAGTCTACCCTCTATCCCTCCAGAGTGTTGGGACCAAGACCTGTCCCCACCCCTCAATCTCACCCCACTGCCACCACTTTCAAGACTGTAACATACCTGCTCTCAATGCCCATTCCTGTAGCAGCTCACCAGGGTCTACTTTCCCCGAAATTGGACCAGTGATCATTCTACACTTGCAGTTAGTGACTCCACTGCCCCCCCCCACACACAAAATTTATCCTGTCCAGCCAGCTTCCCAGAGTTTAGCTGCTCTACAAGTACACCTTGCAGAGGCCTGGGGGGATAAGGAAGTACCCTCACTTTCCCCCACCCAGATTTCTTCCTGAGTACCCTCCCAAGTGCTCCTGCCCAGGCTGGGCCCGCTCACCTTCATGTCTGCCAGCAGCTGCAGACCATCCTGTGGCCTGTGGCACCCAATGGCCAAATTGCAGAATGTCTGGAAGTTGGGGACGATTCCCCTCTTTGCCAGCACTGGCAGCAGCGTCTATGGGAACAGACATGGCATCACCAGAAGCTGTAACCCACCAGCCTTGGCAAAAGCCTGGTCTGTGAAAGCCCTTGGAAGGACACTATAGGCCCCAGCGGTACAGCTCTGCTCCAAGGCCTCAGGCTCCCTCTGCTGGCCTCATTGGGCACTGGCCTCAGCCCAGCATTCAAGGGCCTAGGGTCCTGTACAGCCAGCTCCCCAGAATGCAGCTGCTCTACAAGTACACCTTGCCTTCCAGATTTCCCGTCTCCAGTATGCTGTCCCTTCTCCCTGAATGCACTTCATATTCCTATCCCTCTCTACTCCTCTGTTGGCCATCCATTCCTTAGGCCTTCAATGTCCTTGGAGCACCAGGGGCCTTACAGGCTCATGATCCCGTGGTCCAGGATGGGAGTAGCTAACAACAGTGTGGTAAGTGCTAGCTGAGGAGCCTGGGCAGGAGGTGAGGAAAGGGTAGAGGACACCTGGCTCAGCCTGGCCGGGCCAGGGAGGCTCCTGGGAGAGGGTTTATTGTATTTAGCTTATGTAGAGAAAGGAGCACTCTACGCTGTGGGCCTGAAGGCAGAGGCTGTGTCTTTGTCATCTTTGATGTTCACAAGTGCCCAGGTTAGTGCTCTGGTAAAAAAAAAAAAAAAAAAAGCATCACATAGAAACATGTCATATGAGCCCTGGCCGGTTTGGCTCAGTGGTTAGTGTCAGCCTGCGGTCCAGAGAGGCCCGGGTTCAGTTCCCGCTAAGGGCACGTACCTTGGTTGTAGTGTGTCCCCGGCCCTGGTTGGGTCGTGTGGGTGGCAGCCACTCGATGTGTCCCTTTCACGTCTATGTTTCTCTCTCTCTCTCTCCCTCCCACTCTATCTGAACAAAATATCAAAAAATGTCTTCGGGTGAGGATAAAAAAAAAAAAAAGAAACATGTCATATGAATAGAAACAATCCCGAGAGGGCTGGTGTTTCTATCTGTGAAGTGGGATGTGATCAGTAAAGAAACAAATGGATGTGGAGTTCTTAGAACAGATCTAGCACAGAGTAAGTGTGATGTTAGTGAGGTAGGGTGGCTAAAGGGTAGGGATACTAGGAGCCACCAGCCTCTCAAGCCATGTGGCCCCCTGTGCTCCTCATCAGTGTAAGGATGTGTCTGGTGTCTGCCTCCCACCAATCTGTGAGCTCCTTGAAGAGGGAAGAGAGTGCAGCTCACTCAATTCCTACCTCTTCACCCGAGCCCACAACAGGGGCTCTGGACAGTCTGCCCCACTGACTGTGGAAATGGATGTGACACCTGGCAGGGAGCCAGGTCCCACAGTCAGAGGGTCAGAGGAGGGAAGGGGAAGGAGGGCTCCAGGCCAGAGCCCCGTGCTTGCCTCCACGCTCACCTTCGCCCCCTCCAGATCGCCCAGCTTGCTCTTCTTCCTCATCAGAGTGTTGAAGAATGTCACATCGGCCTCCACCTGGTGCGTGTCCAGGATGGTCAGCAGCGAGGACTCCGCAGGGCTACTGGGATCTACCACCTCAGCCAGCAGCGTAAGGGTTTTGATGTCAGGCCGGAGTCCATGCTCTGCCATCTTGCCCAGGAAGCCCTCCAGGCCCCCCATCAAAGCCAGCCTGTCAGCTGAGGTGGTCACAGTCCCAAAGGAGACCACAATGGGAGGAACCACCCCCAGACTCAGGAGGTTGACCTCCAGCCCCCTGGGAAGCAGCTGAGAGGTCATGGAGGCAAGGGCCACAGTGTGGTCAGGGTCCATCTCGGGCTGGGCCTTGCTGGGGACTCTGTCCTCCCGAGGCTCTGGAGGCCTCTCAGGTGCCTGAGAAGGTTCCAGAAACAGCTGCCTCTCCAGGGTCTCCACCTGCAACTTAGCTGACACTCTGTCAATTGTCCCGGCCTGGGCTTTCCTCCTTGCCTGCCGCCCACCTGCCGGGGGCTGGAGTGGCACCACCTCTTCCCTGGGCCTCAGGAGCAGTGCTGAGGCCACTTCTGGGTCCCCCAGGCCACAGTCCCGAGCTGCCACCAAAAGTAGGTTGTAGCCATGCCGGCTGGGCTGCAGCCCCAGACTCAGCATTTGCCTCCACACCTGCGAGGGAGAAACCAGCCTCAGCTCCATGATCCCTCTCAGGAGGAAGGAGGCACTGAGAGTCAACAACCAGTTGGCAAACACAAAGGGTGCAGTAAGGACCCAGAGTATCTGACTCCACACCAGGCTCTGGGCAACTAAGAATCCTAAGCATCTGGAAACTCTGTGGAAAACTTCCTTTTCTCCCTTTAGCTCACCCCAAAACTGTTCTCACAGTTTCATCCCTTTGCCCTCTCTCAGGGCTCCTGTACCAGGGAATGGGCTCTGCCCTAGGTCTCTGCCTACCTCTGCACTCCCCTGGGGCTGGATGGTTCAGAGAGGTGAGGTTCTGGAAGTGTCTAGGCCAACTTAAGGATTGGATTCAGCTGCACTTCCTGAGTGCCTACTGTGAGCCCTGCCCAGGCAGCCTTCTCACACTTGACGGCACAAGGCAGGTGTGGGTGAAGGGGGACTCAGCCAGACTGTGGGCCTAGGCAGCCCGCTTCCTCACGAAATGAGATCATTTTCATCCCCAGCAGTGTCCAGTATGCTCTGTGTGTTCTCCAAACTCTGCTCTGATGTCTGGGTGACTGACACCAAGACAGCACTGCATGGGCTCAAGGTATCACTTGCTCCTCTTTCTCTCTACACTCAACGGAAAATGACACTTAGTGGGCCTAGAGCTCTGACTTCCTGCCCTCATCAGAGACCAGTGTGCAGGTGAGGCAGAGGCTAGTCAGGCTCAGGTGGGTACACCTAGCAAGAAGGCTGCTATAGCCAGGCAGGGTGTTGAGGAGAGCAAGGGTTTGGCAAGCACCTCCACAGGGAATGTTGACAGAACTGAGTTTCAGCAGGGACAAGTACCCTATCCCATGGTGGCAGGAATTCTGACTCTAGAGTCAGATGAACCTCAGTTCAAATCCTAGCTCTACTGTTTGGTGGCTGTGGGAACTAAGGCAAGTTACTTAACCTCTGGGAGCCTCAGTTTCCTTACCTGTAAAACGAGGCTAATGGTGCCTAGCTCAAACAGTTTAATAAGTGCAAGACATTGTACATAGCTACTAGTATTACACATTGTTTCTAACTAGAACAGATCTAGGCCAAGGAGAGGGAAGAACTAGGTCTTGACTGGTTTTCACTATAAAGCTTGCTGATGGCCGGCGGCTGCTCCTTCCAGGGAATCTGTATAGGGGAGGCATTTGGCCCAGGGTTGTCCCAGATCACTGAGGCTTGAACTGTGTGTGGACTGACTGCCTGGGATCCTGATGAAATGCTTATTTGGATGTAGTGTGTGGGGATGGGGGAGGGGGTCTGAGACCCTGGCAAGTCCCAGGTGATGCTGCTGTTGCTGGTGTGTGGGCTACCGTTGAAGTAGGAGGGCTCTAGATGAGCTGCCGGTCTTTCCCAACTCTGAGGAGCTAGAACAGCTGTTACCACTGCTAATACTGCCTACCCACTTGATGAGTGGAGTTCTTCCTGGGAATCTAAGGTGGGATTAGAGCAGCATGTCTTGACCTTGATGTCTGTGAGTCTTTCCTGGAACTACATGCAGCTCCTGAGGTTCCCCTGCAGAGATGCTGGGGGTGGGTGCTGGGGCAGATGGTTGAGCAAGTACCTGAGACAGGTATGCTGCAGGCATTCAAGGACTGTAAGCTTTGCAGATGCAGGTTGGCGGCACAGAAGGCTACCGAGCAGATTAGGAGAGCACGGGCTGGCTGTGCCCTCACTCTTAGGGCAGCCATGCCACCACCACCTCCAAGGGCCTCCTGTGCCAGCCATCTGTAAAATGAGGAGAGGCAGGGGAGCACTGTGCTCTGGGAAGGCCAAAATATTGCAAATATAAAAACACCCAGCCCAGGGCAGTAGCAGCAGCTCAAGAAATGTACACAAGATCACTGTTTGCACTGGTCACAGGCCCAAGAGGACACACGAGAGGCAGGAAGGCAGAGTCAGGAGGGACAGACCTGTAGGGCATATCGGAAGCCTGTCTTCTTATCCTGGATGCAGCCCATGAGCAGGTAACTGAAGGTTTCCTCTGTGACCGCATGCCCTTTATGAATAATTTCCTGGGGGAGGGAATAAGAAGAACCTGTTGGGAGCCTATGGCAGAGCCCAGGCCTGCCCAGTGGGTCTGACTCAGGGCAAACACTCCTGGGGCACATCCTAAAGTGGTGGGGCCTGAATCAGCTCTGGGGCCAGCTTATAACCAGTCCCTGAGCAGAGCCGTCCAACTCTGACTGCACTTCCTCCTCCTTCCTTTCCCAGGCCTCTCTTCCCAGCTGCTCCTATCACTTCTGTGCAGCCCCTCTGCAAAGACTACCCCAGTGGCCACTTTTAGCCCCTGTACTGGAAACTGGAATTGAAGAGCCGGCATCAAATCCCAGCTCCACCACTGGCCAGCTGTGGGAGTGTGGGCAAGGCTCCCTGGCAGTTTCATCACCCGTGAAGCAGGATCACAGGCAGCATTTGCCTTAGAGGATCTTTGAACAACCACACGAAACAGTGTGGTGACTGCACACAGCAAGTGCTCAAGGCACTAGTTACCACTGGTCTCTCTAGGGCCAGCTGGAGTTAGCATTGCCTTCTTGAGACACTCCTACCTCTCAGCACCTCAGGGTCTCCTCCTCCAGCCTGTCTGCCTCTGTCTCTCTTGTCTGCATAGGTGCTCCCACCCCCGTGCTGCCATTTTCCTGCCTCCCCTCGTCACCAACCCTCCCACCTCAGTGAGATTTTAAGTCTGTGCTCTCTCTCCTGTATATGTACAGCTCTTTCATTTATTTATTTTTTTGTACGTGCCCCTAGTGGGAACCAAACCCAGGACTATCTGGTCCACGGCCAATGTTTCAACCGCTAAGCCAAACCGGCCAGGGCTACAGCTATTTCTTTTTTTTTTTTTTTTCCTTCATTGATTTTAGTGAGAAAGGGACAAGGAGAGGGAGAGAGAGACAGATACACTGATGAGAGAGAACACTGATTGGCCGCCTTCTGCATGCCTCCCACTGGGGATTTGACCCACAACCCGAGCATATGCCCTGACCAGGAATCAAACCAGCAACCTCTTGGTGCATGGGTTGACGCTCAACCACTGAGCCACACCGACTGAGCTCTCTCTTTTTTTTTAAAGAGAGAGAGAGAGAGGAAAGGAGAGGGAGACTGAGAGAAACATCGATGAGAGAGAACACTGATTGGCCACCTCCGGCATGCCCCACACTGGGGATTTGGCCCACAACCTGGGCATGTGCCCTTACCAGGAATTGAACTGGTGACCTCTTGGTGCATGGGTCGATACTCAACCACTGAGCCACACCAGCCAGGCGTCATAGCTATCTCTTAACTGGCTCCTTCCCCTACCAGCCAGAATGACCTGCCTAAAAACTAATCTAACATCTCCAGACAAGTCAGGCGAGAGTCCTATCAGCCACACTTCTGGAAGCTTCAGGTACCAGCCTTGCCCACAGCACCCTCTGAAAGAATCTGTCCCTCACAGGGAGGTCTCCAGGCTCAAGACCCCATGATCCTGCCTCTCCAGCAGAGCAGGCCCACTCAAGGTTACCAAGCCAGGGACTGACCGAAGGCTGCTCTGCATCACTTAGTGCCTGGACAGTCCCTTGGGTCCTCTAACCTGGGATGGGCAGATGGGACCTCGCTATGTGCAGTGAGGAAAAGCAGCAGTCAGTGATGTAGCAGGGAGACAGAAAGCAATCAAGTCGCTCTTGGTAGAAGGTAAGAACAGTGTGAGAAATGCCTGAGGGAAGAGTATGAGGATAAGGCTGCCAAGGGCATGCTGAGCCCTGCCTGACACTGCCCTGGTTCTCCTGAGGTTTGGCTGTGGTGACCTAGGACCTTCCCTGCTTCCCATAAGCCTGTTTCAGTATTAACTCGCAACTGTCTCGCTTCCTTGCAATCTGAGAAAGCAGAACTGCCACCCTGCTCGTGGTACGCCCTACTCAAACCCCACCTTGGCCTCCTCTGTAAACTGGGAATAAAAAACCTTCTTACGGCCCTGGCCAGTATGGCTCAGTGGTAGAGTGTCGGCCCGCAGACCAAAGAGTCGCAGGTTCGATTCCATTCAAGGCCATGTACTCGACTGCGATTTGTCTCCGGCTCTGGTCGGGGTTGTGCGGGAGGCAACCAGTCAATGTGTCTCTCTCATGTCGATGTCTCCCCACCCCCCGCCATCTATCTGAAGATAAAAATGGAAAAAAGTATCCTCGGGTGAAGATTTAAAACAAAAAAAACCTTCTTACAGGGTCACTGAGAAATATAAGAGGCTACAGGCCAAAGCTCTAACACAGACAGGCCATGTTCAGCGCTCCCATGCCTCCGCTCGCCCATTTCCCTCAAACCTGACACAACAAATGGCTGGACTCCAAAACTCCCTGGACCAGGGCTTGAGCTCCTACTGCTCTTTCTAAGCAGGAGGCCATTCCGGTGAGCAGACTCATCTTTAGTGGTATGAGGCTACCCTCCTCCATGGCACCACTGAGTCCCACACAACAGGACACAGCAGCGCAGACCCCACTGTCCTCATGGGGTTAGGGGCCTCTCTGTCTGTTGGACCAAGGACTCTGAGATCAGGGTCTCATCAGATTCATCTGTGAATTCCCAAGCCCAGCATGGGACCTGTTTCAGTGGTCCCTGAACCTTCCTATGTGAGACAGACAGATGGCCACAGCCTCACACCTGTCACATGGGACAGGTCCCGAGTGGAAGGCAGGAAGGAAGGACATCCCCACCTTGAACACATCCAGGCACATCCTAAGGTCTGCACACTTGGCAGCCATCTTCAGCAGGGCATGATATGTTTTCAAGTTGAGCTGGAAGTTGTTGGTCTGCAGCTGCTGCCGTAGCTTTAGGGCACTCTGCAGAGCGGAGTCCTTCCAGGGGGACTCAGCGCAGACATTGAACAGGGCTGTATAGGTGGCATCTGAGGGCTCCAGATCCCGCTTTTTCATCTGTAGAGATGGGGAGAGACTTGGAGATGGCTCCAGAATCATCTGGACACACAGGTGACAGCCACTCCAAGGAAGTTAGAGAGGACTCCACCACTACATTAAACAGGTCTGGGAGTAGGGCCTGCACCAAGGCAGAGCTGAGTGGCACATCAGAGCTCAGCTTTGCAGACCCAACTCAGCCAAAAGGACTCTGAAAACTGACCTTGAATCCCAGTTGCACCAAACTATCCTCCCCATGGAGCTCATCAGCTCACCCTGGGCCTGAGGTGCTATAAGCACCTGATGCTCTCACCCTCTGGCCAACCAGGTTGCCTTGACTATTAAGGGGTCCTAGAGTGGGTCTGCTCTGGGAAAGGGTGGGAGGTAGCAATCAAAGCCCAGCTCCAATGTTTACTAATTGAAGGGTGGTGGGCAAGTTAGCTCCTCACTGAAAAAAATAGGAATGATACTGTCACCTTGAAAGCTTGTTGCAAGGGTTGGGTAGGAGAGTGACTGACAGACCAGCAGCAGCTAGGAGCATATTACTACAACACATCGCAGGGCCCCACAACCTGCAGAGTCACAAACCCCAGGCTGGGGCCAATACTATGCCAATCAAGCCCTCTGGGTGACTGAGCTCCTCTAAGAGATCACTGTTTCCCAGTGATCAAGGCAGGCAACAAACTGTTATGGAAAAGTGTGAAGAGCCCTGGTCTGGCCATTTTGGCCTCAAATCCCAAGGAGTGACCTTGGACAAGGTACTTCATCTCTCCAGGCCTCAATTTCCTCATCTGGAAAATGAAGACAGTGATTCTGACTTCAAGGATGATGGAGGTTCTATATGTATTCACACATTCAACAGATGTGTACTAAGGACATTGGTAACCAGGACAGATACAGCCTGACTCACTGAGCCTATACTCTAGAGGATGAGGCACACAACAGACAAGTAACCAACAACTGTAGTAAGTGCTGTGAAGGACACCCACAGAACACAGGATGAAAAATAGTACCTTCATGGTAGAAAAACCTAGCAAATACCAATTAACCAAGTGACCGAAGTAAATGTCTCCTGTGTTAAGTCACACCGATGTTGTGAAGCCCTTATATAAGAAGGGCACTTCATGACCTGGCCGGTTTGGCTCAGCGGTTAGAGCCTCGGCCTGCGGTCCAGAGAGACCCGGGTTCGGTTCCCACTAGGAGCATGTACCTCGGTTGCAGTTGTCCCCGGCCCTGGTTGGATCGTGCGGGTGGCAACCACTTAATGTGTCCCTTTCACATCGATGTTTCTCTCTCTCTATCTCTTCCTCTCTCTCCCTCCCACTCTATCTGAACAAAAAAAAATGTCCTCGGGTGAGGATAAAAAAAAAAAAAAGAAGGGCACTTCACCCCTGTAATATTTTCCTCAAACCCATAACCCCAGTCTCACCATGAGAATGTATAAATTCTCAAATGATGGACATTCTACAAAACTCTGACCAGTACTACTCAAAACTGTCAAGATCATGAAAAACAGAAATGTCAGAAAATATCACAGATTAAAGGAGCCAGTATGGGAACCTGGATTGAATGAAGAATAGAAAGAAGATATCAGTAAAAAACTGGTGACATCCAAATACAGTATGGAGTTTAGTTAACAATAATGAACTATGAACTAACAGTGGTTTCTTAGTTTTGACAAATGTACCAGCATAATGTTAACATGGGGGGGCAGCAGTGGGAGTATTTGGGAACTTTTTATATTACCTTTGCAACTTTTCTATAAATCTAAAGTTATTCTAAAATAAAATGTTGGGGGCAGGGGGTGGAAGCAGCAAAGTAATAGAAAATAAGTAAAGTTAAATAGAATGACCTGGGCTTTTCTGAGGAGGTCACTTAAGGATCCTCCAAGCATAAGGAAGTACTGCTAAGGACTCTTAACCAAGAGCCACAATAAATGTACTACATACCCCCCCACACCCCATTCACTTAGCACCTGAATGCTTTTCTGCTGACTAGGTGATCAGGGCAGCCTCTTATTTTTCTATACCATATTTAATTAGGTCTTCTAAAGAATATGTTACCTTATCATTTGTAAATACAATTCCTCCCCTTGCTTCCAGCTAGAGATTATCAGGTCTAGAGTACAAGTGTTCCAAATGACAAGACTAAGGCTCCCAAGAATTCTTGCTGGAATAAAGGATGTCCTAGCTTCTGGCTGCAGAAGATGGGATCACTTCTGCTACAGTCCACAGATCTTTCCTGACTCACAAAGAAAATAGCTTCTTGGCTCTGAGAATAACAAATACGACACACTCCAGAGGTGGGTGAATATAAAGTAAAACCATCTTCCAAGAGGAATAAAAGCCCTTTTTCAAAGGACCAACGTTGGACAAAAGGTGCCATGTATGTGCATGCATGGGAGTGAGGATGGGGATGAGAGAAAAGGAACACAAACAAACTGGGAATAGCAGTGGAATAAGAAGGGGATGGTTGGGACCTGCCAAGGTCCAGGCAGATGCTGGAGAACTTCCCATGTAATCTCATCCACGATCACTTCCATTTTACAGATGATGAAACTGAGGCTGAAGAGGTTGAATCATTTTCCCAGAGTCATGGACTAGCAGGTGACACATTCAAGATTGGCACCCAGCTTTTTGTCCCAAAACTCATGTTCTTCAGTCTTGCCCTGCCACCCCTATGCCCCCCACTCACATCGCTGTAGAGCCTGAAAGCCTTCTTCAGGTAGCCGGCCCGCCCGCAGCCCCCAATCAGCACCGTGTAGTTGCACTCAAGGGGCTGGAGTCGCTCCTCCTTAAGCATCTGCCTCTCAAACAGGTCCAGGGCCTCAGCCAGCTGGGGGAAGAAGGAGAAAACAATGAAGGGAGCTCAGGGTGGCCTCAGAGATCCTCAGCAGAGGGAGGGAATTTGAGATTGAGGGACCCTCCCTGAGCCCAAGACCAGGCCTGGCCAGGAACCAAACACCTACCCTAGGCCTCTGTCACCATCCTCTTGGTCCCTGTGCTCTGCCGCATGGGAGCTTTGTGGTAGCGAGGAAGGAAAGAGCATAGGATTCCCACCAACTATGGGAACTCTCAACCCCATGGTTACAGCCTCCTGTGATGGTGTAGGATGGCAGCCCTGGGTGACTAGCTCTCTCCAATTGCAAACTCCCTTGGCCCACAGCTGTCTTTGCCCCATCCCAACCCCTAAACCATTCCCCTTTAAATCTTTGGTTCACTCCTTTACTCCTTATTTTTTTAATCCATTCATTCAACCAGTTACTGAGTCCTACTATATGCCAGGCAAGATCTATTTGTTGAGGATACAGCTGAGAATAAGAGGGAGCTCCCTCATCGAGTTCATCTTCTTGTTCAGAAAGACAGACACCAAACAAGATAACTAAGAAAAATATATAGTTATGTCAAGTGGTCATAGGTGCATTGAAGAAAACAAAGCAGTGCCAGAAACACGTAGGAGGTTCAGATACGACAGTCAAGCAGGCCTCAGAAGGTGACAGGTGAACAAAGATCTGAAGGAGGTGAGAGAAGGAGCCCCATGGCTATATGAGGGAACAGCAGTGCAGAGGCCCTGAGGCAGGAGTGTGCCCGGAAGTTGGAGGAGAAGAGAGGAGGCTAGAATGACTGCAGTAGGGTAAGTGCAGGGATGAAGGCAGCAAGGTAAGGGGAGGCATGGAATGGTGGTGGTGGCAAATACCACAGACTTCATAAGCCAGTATAAGGGCTCTGCTTCTCTTTGTTTATTTCTCAACTTTTCATTACAAAAAATTTCAAAAATAGAGATAACAGTGTTAACTACAATCATTATTAGCATTTGGCCCATCTTGTTTCATATATGCTCTGCACTCTATATGAAAAAATGCTCAACGTCACTAATCATCAGAGATACAAATTAAAATGACTATGAGGTATCACCTCACACCTGCCAGATGGCTGCCATCAACAAATCATTAAACAACAAGTGCTAGCGAGGATGTGGAGAAAAGGGCACTCTAGCACACCGCTGGTGGGAATGCAGACTGGTGCAGCCACTATGGAAAACAATATGGTGTTTCCTCAAAAAATAAAAAATTGAACTGCCATTTGACCCAGTGATTTCATTTCTAGGAATATATCCTAAGAAGTCTGAAACACCCATCATAAAGAATATATGCACCTCTATGTTCATAGCAGCACTATTTACAATAGCTAAGACCTGGAAACAGCCCAGGTGCCCATCAGTAGATGAGTGGATAAAAAAGCTATAGTACATTTACACAATGGAATACTACGCAGCTGTAAGAAAGAAAGATCTCTTACCCTTTGAGATGACATGGCAGGACCTGGAAAGTATTATGCTAAGTGAAATAAGTCAATCAGAGAAAAGACAAATACCATATGATCTCACTTATTTGTGGAATATAATATACAAAATAAGCTGATGAAAAAAACAGATCCAGAAACATGGAAGTAGGGAGCAGACTGACAAACCTCAGAGGGAATGGGGGTGGGACAGGAAGAGTTAAACCAAAGAACTTATACACATATATCACAACCAATGGACACAGACAACAAGACAGTGAGGGTGGGGAGGAGGATATCAAAGGGGAAAAAAGGAGAGAGGGACATCTGTAATAAAAAAGAATTTTTTTTTACCCTTGACCAGGAATCAAACCTGCGACCCTTTGTTCCACCAGCTGACTATCCAACTGCTGAGCCAAACCAGCCAGGGCTAAATAGAACTTTGTTTTTTAATCCTCACCAAAGAATATTTTTCCATTTATCTTCAGATAGAGTAGGAGGGAGAGAGATAGAGAAAGAAAGTTAAAGAGAAACATCGATGTGAGAGAGACATACTGACTGGCTGCCTCCCGCATGACCCCGACCAGGGCCAGGGACGAATGGCAACCGAGGTACGTGCCCCTGACTGGAATAGAACCCGCGACTCTTTGGTCTATGGGAAGACACTCTAACTGCTGGGCCAAACCAGCCAGGGCCTACGCAGAACTTTTAAAGTAAATTCCAGACATCTTATCATTTCATTCATAAAATCTTCAACACATACCTCTAATAGAATTTTAAACATAAATGCAATGTCATTATCATGAAGAAAATGAACATCTTCATTGTCACTGAATACATTAGGAGTTTTGGAGGAAGGAGTAACACTGTCTGCTTTCTGCTTTAATAGGACGGCTCTGTGTTTTGAGCTATCATCTGGGCAGGAGGTGGCAAGAGTGGTGGAGAGCCCTGTGACAAGTGTAAGGGGCAAGAAGAAGGCTAGGCCTGGGCATTCAGTAGTGGTGTCATGAGAAGTGCTAGGACTGGCAACATTTTGAAGTTAGAGCTGGTGAGAGAAAGAGGAGTTAGGAATGACCTGAAGGCATCCAGCCTGGGCAGATGGAATAATGGAGTTGCCATTTAGTAAGATGAAGTGTAGAGAAAACAAGGTTAGAACAATTTCAGGTCAATGTGGGCAAGTGTAAGGGAGATGGCGAGAAGGTAGCTGGATACACATATTGGGAGTCCATGGGAAGGCCAGGCTGGAGATATGAACATGAGAACTGCAGTGAGGAGGGGGCTCTGAAAGCCAGGAGGCTGGTGGGTCACCTAGTACAGCACCTAAAGAGTGAAGACAGAGAAGAGAAGAGCCTTGAGCACCCCTACCTTTAGAGATTATAAAGGTAGGGTGGGCCCTCACAAAGTACTGAGCTACCAGGGATGTAGGAGCCAGGAGTAGCAGAATCCAAAGGTTTCCTCACCTTTCCTTCCTTGATCAGGTGTTTGCACTGAAAGAAGTACCAGTAAGGGGTGTTTCTCCGGCCTTGCCATGATTTTGGCTCCAGCTCCCTTTCCTTATCTTCTTGATCTTGTTCCTTGAGCCGTAGGTTATACAACTGGGCTGTCGATTTGTGGAACATTCTCCGGGAGGAGTATTTATTGGAAAGAGTCCCAAAGCTCTCTTCCTCTTCTTCCTCCTGGGTGGCCATGGAGCTGGGCTGGCTCGGATCAGAGCTGAGGCTGCGTGTGTTCTTCTGGCTCCCCTGGCTGAGGGGCAGCTGAGAGAGGGAGCTGCTACAGGCTGCTGGTATTGGCCCAGTCGGCCCCATGGCCCTCAGCCATGCAGGCCCCTCCCTACCTCCTGCCCACCTGGCTTTGAGAGGGTCAAGGTGTTGCAGGATGGACAGGGAGCGGGGGCTGACGAAGAGCTGGGCAAGTCTCATCAGGTCCATCGCTGGCTTTTACCTCCAGGGCCTGGCATAGGTCAGGAAAATAATGAAGTCAACTCAGCTTCATAATCCAAAAAGGCAGAGAGAAGATAGAAAAGTGGTTACAAGCATGAGCCCTGAGGTTAAAAAGCCTAGGTTCTGACTTCAGCTCTGCCAAACAACTGTCCAGAGTCCCTGGGCACTCACTGCTCTGGCATCAGTCTCCTCACCTGTAAACTGGGGTTAACTATAACATCACCCACACAGCACTATTTGAACGAGGCGATGATTGAATGAGATCTCAGATATGTAGCATGCAGCACAGTGTTGGCACAGTAGGCACTCAATAGATATAAGCTAGTGATATTACCAAGCTATGATCTAAAAGAGTAAGTGCTGAAATGAAGCTGAGTTTGCAACCTGACCAGAGTTGTGTGTCTGTAACTATTATTTGACCTTTCAATTTCTTCAGCGATAAAATGAGGATAATCCCACTCACCTTACCATGAGGTTATAAGGATTAAATAAGATGCCTGGCATTTAATAGTTCAAAATTGCAGCTATTATCATTTATTGGGGGGGGAGGGGAGATGTTGGCTTTTGGCCCTGTGCCCAGGAAAGTTAACCCAAGCACTTCTTTTCTGCAAAAAGTTGTAGACAAATGGGCTAGAGCTGTGCTGTCCAATATGGTAGCACATGAAACATGCTAATCTAAATGGAGACGAGCTATAAGTACAAAATACACATCAGATTCAAAGATTTTTGTACAAAAAAAAATGTAAAATACACAATTATTTTACATGTCGAAATGATAATATTTTAGATACACTGGGCTAAAGAAAATTCTCCATTTCACAATTTCTTTCTACTTTATTTAATGTGGCTACTTAAAAATTTTAAATTACATACGTGCTCCCACTATATTGCTATTGGACAGTGCTAGGCTAGAGGTCCTGCTCTGCATATTTGAAACTCTTTCATAAAAAAAAAATCAGTCCTGCCCTGGCCGGTTTTGCTCAGTGGTTAGAGCGTTGGCCTGTGGTCCAGAGAGACCCAGGTTCAGTTCCCGCTAAGGGCACGTACCTTGGTTGCAGTTTGTCCCTGGCCCTGGTTGGGTTGTGTGGGTGGCAACCACTCGATGTGTCCCTTTCAGGTTGATGTTTCTCTCTCTCTCTCTCTCTCTCTCCCCCCCCCCACTCTATCTGAACAAAATATCAAACAATGTCCTCGGGTGAGAATTAAAAAAATAATAAATAATAATAATAATAATAATAATATCAGTCTCGGCCAGTTTGGCTCAGTGGTTAGAGTGTCGGCCTGCAGTGCAGAGAAACCCGAGTTCGGTTCCCGCTAAGGGCATGTACCTCGGTTACAGTTTGTCCCCGGCCCTGGTTGGGTCGTGTGGGTGGCAGCCACTCGATGTGTCCCTTTCACATTGACGTTTCTCTCTCTCTCTCTTCCTCTCTCTCCCTCCCACTTTATCTGAGCAAAAATGGAAAAGTGTCCTGGGTGAGGATAAAAAAAAAAAGTGAGGCCCAGGAAGGGGAGTGACTTGCTGGAGGTCCTGCAGCAGTGCTGTGGGCCAGACTGGTCAGCTGCGGAACTGGTCTGGCTTTGAACCCAGGTCAAGGACAGCCTCCCTTGACCAGCATCCTAGTGACACTGGTGCAGAGGACCTTTACCATCTGTGTCTGATGAGGCCTGCAACTCCCATAGAAATAGAATGTGAGCACATAAGTAATTTTAAATTTTCAAGTAGTCACATTAAATAAAGTGTTTACCTGCATTAAACGAAATACATAGGGTTACAAAAAGAATATATCGAAACAGGTGTCAAATGTTTTTAAAACAAAGTTATGCTCTCCTAGTACAAAGAGCAAGATCCTGTCATCACGTCAAGGAGTGATGAGTGTAAATGATAGCTTGTAGTAGTTGCCGATGCTCTATCTCTATCATTTACATTCATCCCCACTTAAAATCACGACCTAGTTTTGGGCACTGCTAACACTACTCGTCTGTCAGGGAAGGAAATGCTCAATTTCACGCAGAGACAAGTGTAATTTTCTTCCTACTCAAGTTCATTAATCTGCCCAGGCTAACAACTCCTGAATCAGAGAGACACTGCCGCTGCCTTCCTTCGAAGGACCCGACCCTCCCCAGACGCTCCCCCGCGGCCTCTGGCCAACGCGACCCCGCCACACTGGCCTTTAGAGCCTCGTTTTCCTCAACGGCCGCCCACGGCTCAACCCTGGTGCGACACTCGCTGTTCCTCTGGCCTGTCCCCGCTCGGACCCCGAATCCAGAGTTCCTGCGCGGGTCAAATAGGAACTCACTCCGAGTCCAGCCCAGTGAACGCGAGCCCGGTGCCTGCGTCGACCCCCCGGGACCCGCGTCCCCGCCTTGCCTCGCAGCGCCGCGCACCCGTCTCTCCTTCCCCTCCAAGCCGCCCCCCACCCCGGGGTGCGCCCCAGCCGACCTTCGGCAGGCGCAGTCTGCGTCGCAAACGCCCCGCGCGTGCTTACAAGTTAGACGGACGTCCGGCCGGCAGCTAGCCGGGCCTAGCAGAGAGGCCCGCCCTCCGCGCTCGATTGGTCGGGTCTGAACTGGCGAGGGGCCGGCGCGGGCTCCGGGCGCTCCCGGCATACCTCGGGCGCCGGCGGTGGCGGCGGCGGCCAGGTTAAGGCGAGGCGGAGAAGGACCGTGTGCGGCGGCCGGTGGCGGGTAGAGGTGTGAGAGCGGCGAGGTACTGGAGGGTAGCCGGGCCGGTGGGGCCGCCGCCGCCGCCATGCAGGAAATCATCGCCAGCGTGGACCACATCAAGTTCGACTTGGAGATCGCGGTGGAGCAGCAGCTCGGGGCGCAGCCGCTGCCCTTCCCCGGCATGGACAGTGAGCTTGGGGCCGGGGCCGGCGGGCAAGGGGCACCACCAGATCGGACCCGGGACCCCTCCCTGTCTGTCCTGGGACTCAGACTCGGGAGCCTACCTTCCTCGGATCTTTGATCCCCTGGGGCTAGTTTAAGACAATCATCAGGTCAATCATCAGGAGGGCAAGACCTTATCCGGCTGCTCAAATAATCACTGAATGAAGGAGGGTATCCTGGATTGGTAATCCTTCCCCCACCCCACACACTACCCAACTACAGGAAAGTACTGTATAACCCCCTTCCCCATCTCCAGCCCCCTATTGTGATCTCCCTCTTGCTTTCATCAAAACTGGGCCGTTGGAGGAGTCTGACTGAGGGAAGGACCACCTCTCCCTCTCTGTAGAAGACCCACAATTAGATTCTCAAGCTCCACTATTCTTCTAGGACTCACAGTCTTGGGAATCTATTCTTGTTTTCTGGACTTCAACTCTGGGTCTTTCATCACACCCAGGCAGCTGCCATAGCCCCCTTTTCAGACTTTTTGAAATGCAAACGAATGACACCCCCACGATTCCCAGTTCCAAGGCCTTAAGTCCGTCCTAGCAAAATCTGCCTGCTCCCCAGAAGCCAGGAAGTCCCCTGCAAGTCAGAAAGTAGAGGCACGCAGGTGGCTTTCAGAGATGCTCTCTGTGGGTTTTCAGCAATTCTGAAATGCTTGCTAATAGAGAAAACATTGTGAAACCAGATTTATTCTGGTAGCCATGCCTGGCAAATCACTGGGCTCATTGGAACAGCTAGTCATTGGAGCTCACTGACTTCCACTGCATGCACTTAGCCTGTATTCTCTTGCTCCCCTCACCTGAACCAGCTGCATCTGTAGAAGCAAAATACTGTTCCTTTAATAATTGTGTTGGTGTTGCAAATCAGGAGCAATCCTGTTTCTGTGTCTTCAGTCATGCTCTTCCCTCTCTAATAGCATGTCTCTGTGTGTGTGTGTGTGTGTGTGTGTGTGTGTGTCTCTCTCTCTCCCCTTCTCTCTCTCTCCCTCCCTCTCTCTCTCTCTCTCCCCTTCTCCCCCTCTCCTGTCCCTCGTTCATTTGTGTTTCCTGTGAGATCATTCCTTCCCTCTGTCTCACATTAAAGTGCTAGGGAATTAGCCCTCTGGAAGGTCTGAGCACCAGGTAATTTATTTCTGTGATCTTGTGCTCCATCCTTCCCACACTCACTCCTAACCCCTTAAAAGCATCTTTATTATAGGAGCCTCTCAGAAAGCCCTGTGTAATGACTGGCCTCAATGTATATGTTTCATTTTCCAGGGAATGACTGAAATAAGCAACTTTTTTCTTGTTTGGCCTGGCTTTGCATTTTTTTGCCAGTCCATTTCCTGTATCATGAACACTTCATAGGTCGAAGACCAGAGGGATTTCCTCTCCCTGTCTTCAGATGTCCCTAGTAGCGGTCGCACCTTGCTTTGTTTGACCCTTCTCCTTTTCTTTCCTCTCTGCAGAGTCAGGGGCTGCTGTGTGTGAATTCTTTTTGAAAGCTGCCTGTGGCAAAGGTAAGAAACCCCTGGTTCCTTGATGTTTGTCCTGAGGTGCCTTCCACCACTCTGCCCCCTAGCAGACTTGTAGGCTATCAGGTCTCTGGCTTACATTGCTTTTTTCAGACTAATAGTGTCCCTAAATGAAACTGTGGTTTAGATAGGCTAGGAACATGATGGGGTATTCTGCCTGAAACCTAAAACACAGGACTGAACAGCCTTCTCACTTCACTTTCCCTGTGGCCACAAGCTGACCTACAACATGAACAGAAGCTCTTAGCACTAAGATATTTGGGCACTTTCTCAAGGTCACAAAGTTAGTGAGACGCTGAGCCCAGTGTTTGGACCCAGGTCTTTGTCATTCTGCAATTTGTACAGGCTCACTGTCCTCTGTCCACTCGTTAAAAAAAAAACAAAAACAAAAAAAAAACACAATAGTCTGTCTCATGGAGTCTTGTTCATACTAACCAGCCCCCCACAGAGGCTGCATAAGGAAAAGTATCGGCTGGGCAGGACCTTATATACTACATATAAGTCTGGCCATTTTTCTTTCTGTAGACACATTTATTTGGAAACTAAATTTGATCACAAGCTTGAATAGAGAACACAGAATTAGAGCAAGGTTGGTTTTAATGACTGATTTTGGCCAGTTTTGGTTCTATAACTCAGTCTTTTACTGCTAAATCGATAGACCAGCCAAGTAGGTCATCCAGGTCAGCCTCCAGCTTTCTAGCTGGATCATCATTGTCCCTGGGCTCCATCCCATGTCTTTGCTTAGTAATTCTGCCTTTCTGACCTGCCACCATCTGTTAGCAAGCTGTCCTTAACATGGGCATTATTACTGTCTCTTTGTTAACTAATACAGTAGCTACTAGCCACATGTGCTCAATTAAAATTAAATAAATTTTAAAATGCAGTTCTTAAGTCATACTTGTATTTCAAGTGTTTAATAGCCACAGGTGGCTACTCGCTGCCATATTGGACAACATAAATATAGAGCATCTATCATTGCAGAAAGTTCTGTTGGATGGGGCTGGTCTAGATCACCACCAGTCACAGCCTCATTCTGATTGGACCTTCCTAGTAGTCCCGCCAGGCCACTATTAGAAATACGAATTTCCCAGGCTGTGGTTCTGTCCCATCTGTAAGGATGATCGTTCAGGTCCTGCTAACAGAAGGGAGACCTCCCGCAGTTTGTATGCAGTGCATTTCTTCAGTTCTGTAGTAGATCTTCTTTCTTATTTATTAGAGGTTAAGTAGGTACTTTAAAGATGGAGCCTGCCTGGAGTCCAGGCTTCTGCTGGTGATTCTCTTTACCTTTTATCTTTTAGGGCTGTATTTCCCAAACCCCAGTGTTTCTTTATCCCTGCAGTTTTTGCCATGTCCATGTATCACTGGAACTATTCTTTAAATAAAGACATAAACTCCCCCCTCCCCCACACCAGCATTGGTCTTATCCCATCTTACAGTGAAATCTGTGAAATCATGATATTTTAGTTAGATTTTACTAAAATACAGTAAAATAAAATGCATGACTATTTAAACTTAAAATGTGTGTCCATATACTACCTAAAACCACATTGCCTTCTGCCAAGGACAGCCACCACCTTCTGGGACATGCAGCTTTTGGTGCTTCAGGGAGGTGGGAGAAGGCGCCTAGGCTCCCCCAGGCCCAGTGCCCCTGACTCAAGGCCACATCTCTCCATCTTCCTCCACAGGGGGCATGTGCCCATTTCGCCACATTAGTGGCGAGAAGACAGTGGTGTGCAAACACTGGCTGCGGGGGCTGTGCAAGAAGGGGGACCAGTGCGAGTTCCTCCATGAGTATGATATGACCAAGATGCCTGAGTGCTACTTCTACTCGAAGTTTGGTAAGGCAGTTTGGTAAGGTGTGTGGCCAGGTCCCTCCCTCCACCCAGAACCCGCCCCCTCGCCCCTAGCCCCAGTAGCTCTGAGGAGGCTCCACTGAGAACCAAGACCCAGGGGAGTTAAGCAGCTGCTCAGGCTCCCACAGTATCTATCATCTCCCATCTTTCCAGGTTCTGATGAGAACTTCAGGCATTGCCCTCCAACCTCAGCTGGCCCATTAGTCATGGGACATTATAGTTATTCTCTAATAATCCCTACCTTTTTGCAGTGCTATTTTTTTTTTAGCACTTTCAGGTACTTTGGGAATTTGAGACTAATGAGAGTCTCCTGGTGGGTGGGTGAGCAGTGCAGCTAGCTAGAGGCCTTGTTTCTGATCAAGTCAACCTTCTCCCTCAAATCAGCTTCTTCTTACTGTGTGGCAACTGACTGCCCCCCAGACCATAGTTGGTTTCCTCCTCTCTGGGCACATGATCCCAGGTAGTAGCTTATCTTTAAAGTACCCATTAAGAAGAGCAAGTTTGGGGAACTGTATTCTGGTGGCAAAGAGCCCGACTCTTCACCTTGAAACTAAGATTGCTTTGATCCCTGCTTAGAGAACATGTGGTCTAAGCTGTCCTGAGTGAACTGTATGGAATTGACACAGGCTGAGGGTAGTAGGGCTGGCACAGGGCTCAACCAAGCTGTTGTGCTCTCTGATGGAACTAGAAGCTCCTGGCTCTCTGCTCTGAGCAAGGTTGATCAGGAAAAATCCTTGTTGGTCAGGATGAGGGCTAGCTCTGACCTTAGGACTACCAGCCCCAGGCCCTTTGCAAAGGCACAGGGGAAGACTAGAAGTCTGCTATGTTCTTTGTGGTGGGCTGAGGAGTGCTAGACCTGCTATGTGCTTTCAAAGCACTATTGTCAGAGGAGATGCTAATTATTTCAGCAGCCCAACAGGCTTGGCGTGCTGGCTTATTAGAGCTGTGGCTTTTTTTGGTAGAGGCAATACAAGCTGAAAAGTCAAAAAGCACAAACAGAAATAGGACTCGAGACTTCCCAACTTCCCCCACCTCCCTTGGAACCAGCACTGGAAGAAAGCAGTGGTTTCTCCATGGAAGCCTTTTCCCATCTGGCCCCAAAGGCAGGAGCCAGCCCTCATCGGCAGACTCTCAAGGGTGCCTCTGCAGGCTGACCTGGGTTTCCTGCTTCTCTGTTGATGGCCCTGGGTGCAGCAACCCTCCCTCCTCAACCCCCTGCCTCTGTGACAGATCCCTGCCTGCCATTCTCCTACAGAGCCTGACCTGGTGCAAACATACTGTCTGCAGCTCCTGTCACCTGTGACACAGGTGAGGGTACCCCTTCTAGGTCCTGAAGAGAGAGTGATGAAGAAGACAGGCCCATTCCTTGCCCCATGGTACTTTTGCTCTAGTGGCCCAGGGAAAGAGGCAGCTAACATGCCAATGAGACAAATAAAGAAGAGAACTGTGCATGATGAGTGTTCTGAAGGAAATAACCAGTGATGAAACCACATGAGGAATCTCCTTTAGGTAGAATGGTCTGGAAAGCCTCTAAGGAAGTAAGACCAAGCTGGATCTGAAAGCTAAGCAGAGGCCAGTCCTGGCAGAGGACTGTCTTGGAACAGCTGGGGGGCCATTGTGGTGGAAAAGAGGTGGAGACTGGGGAGGGGTGGGCTAGACCACACAGGGACTTGTGGGTCTCAGAAGGAGTTTGCATTTTCTCAGATCAGCCTTTCATGTGCAACATAGATTGGAAAGGAAGGGCAAGCAAGGAAGTGGCCGAACTGTAGCTGGGTGAAAGATGCTGGTGGCAGCTGGGCCGATTGCTCCTGAGACAGCTCCTCTCATGAAGGCTTCATTACCTTCTATCATAGGGACCCAGCCTGAGTTCCCAAATCTTCCCTACTTTTTTCCTAAAAGGTAGACTTCTCAGACCTTTCCCCTGTCCCAGCTAGTACAAGTGAAAAGTTGATCAGAGTAGAACAGTAATTTCCTGGCCTCAACTGGTACATTTGCTTATCTGGGCATGCCTCAGTGCCTGGGAAACCCTCTTTGGGTAAGGGATGGAGCCATGAGTTATTTAATGAGTGTATGCATACCCTGTGCCCAGCTCTGTCATTGACCCTCGTGGCAGCATGGACACATATGAGGGGAAGACCTCCACAGTGCATGTACAGGTCAGAAAACCGAGGCTCTAAGGCACTCTCTCGAGTCTCAGGGTTCACCAGGCTGGGAGCAGACACCAAAACCACCTGGCCCTCAGCCGCACAATGGGCCCCAGCCTTGGGAGAAACCGAGGTGGGTCTGGGTCCAGCTCACCCAGGGCTGTCCCGGGTGGATGCATGTCTGGGTTTCCCTGCAGGGGAGTGCAGCAACAAGGAGTGCCCCTTCCTGCACATCGACCCCGAGTCCAAGATCAAGGACTGCCCTTGGTACGACCGTGGTTTCTGCAAGCACGGTAGGTGTCAGAGTGGCTGGACCCCCTGGCAAGAGGCCAGTCCTCTCTTCCCTGCCCACATGACCCTCTACCTGTCCTGCTTATTTCAGCAAAACATGGTATTAGGCATTTGGGGGCTAGTGAGGCTTTTTTCACCCTCAACTCACTTGAGCCTCCCAAAGCTCCTGTGTGGGCTGCATTTTCAATAAGGGAACTAGTATTTGAGAGGTTCTGTGTCCACTGTTTTGTATGAATAAGAGGCAAAGCCAGTTATTTGAAGCCCTGCTCTTGCTCTCTGTGCCCCAGACAGTGGTCTGGGTAGGGCTCTGACTGGCAGAGGGGCACGAGGGCATCCCCTAAAGAGGGGAGGGTCAGAGTGACTTGATGCTTGGCTCCACAGGTCCTCTGTGTAGGCACCGGCACACCCGGAGAGTCATCTGTGTGAATTACCTCGTGGGATTCTGCCCGGAGGGGCCCTCGTGTAAATTCATGCAGTGAGTAGTCAGCCTTATTCCCCCAACTCCCACATTGCTGTTGCCCATGCCCTGTTGGCCCATTCATCTTTCCCGGGTTCAGTTGGGCTTTGGTTCCTGGGTGGTGTTAGCACAGTGCCTGGGGCAGGAGTGGGAGGTTGGAGAAGGACCCCTGTTGTTTTCTGAGCCCAGAGGTGGCTCTGCCTACACCAGCACTTAACCTTTTTTGGGCACAGCCATCAAGGAATCTGATGAAAGCTATGTGCCCTGCACTGCAGAAAAATTCATGCACACATAGCCTTGCATACTATTTAGGGCCCTCAAGTTAAGAACCTGTGCCCTAAAGGGAGGGAACTACAGTATTGGCCTCCTCTATGAAGATACTGAGCTTGGGGTTTCACATACACTAATTCACGTAATTCACAAGTGTGAAAGAGAATGTCCTGTTTCACACATGAGAACACTGAGGCAGCTCAGCCACTGTCCAGGGCCATGTGGTGGTGCCTGCTCAGAGGCAGGTCTGCAGTCCTCCAAAGCCGGGTTCTTGCGCAGCGAGGCTCAGCGCTCCTCTCCTGCGCCTTTGGGTGTTGATGGGGTAGGATGGCACTGGATCCAGAGTAGCTTCCCTCTCCTGTGCCGCCTCCATCGGCACTGCCAACACCACCTGTACAGGAGCACACTGTCCTAGTTGCTGCCACAGGGTGAGCTGGTGGCCGGTGCTGTTGACTTGGTTCCGCTCCCTAGATGAGAGCCCAGGCGCCTGCAAGTGGCCCACGGCTTCCTGCTTGTGGGGCAGGCAGGCAGGCATGTCCTCTGGGGAGTCTGTGTTGTCAGAGGTCTGGCACTTGAATTAGACGCTGCAGGGAAAGGTGTATTGGAAGGGGCTCCCATGCTCAAAGCCCCTCATGGAGCAGGCTTGTGCCTTCTGTTGACCCAATAGCTGCTTCCTTCATTTCTCCCATTAGCACTTTCCCCAGTTAGTGTCAGCCAGTTAGTTGTAAGCAGAGCAGAGTCTGAGTCAGGCATGTCAGTTCTGTTCTTCCCACTGTCCTGTGACCTCAGGGGCAGAGCTGAGAGCCAACACCCACCCTGCGTCCAGGTGGTTTGTGTTCTGTGCTTGGGTAGAGACTGGCCGGGATATTCCCTAGGCCAAAATTCGAGACCACCACCTGGCCTAGCTCCTCTTTCATCTCTTCTTTTGTTCTCATCCCCTCTGGCTGTTGGGTGTCCAGCCCTCGATTTGAACTGCCGATGGGAACCACCGAGCAGCCTCCATTACCGCAGCAGACCCAGCCTCCAACAAAGGTACTGTGTCCTTGCCCCTCCTTGGCTATGGCACTGCCAGACCTGGCAGTGCCCTTGCAGCAGAGAACTCAGTGCCTGTATCACACTGTGCATTCTGTCACAGACCCAGCTGGAGATCTTGTGAGAGGGCTTGGGAGGCAGGACAGTCACCCTGAGTTGCAGCAGAAAATTCAGGGAGTAAAGCAGTTTGCATCTGCCTCTAAATATGGAGGTCTGTCTAGTGGAGCGAAATGCCCACCTGGTTTTTCTTCCTTGCCTGGCGAGTGCCTTGGCAGCACAACAGGACCTTCCTAGAGCCCACCTTGAGAGCTAGAGTGGAAGGCTGCATGATTACCATTTGTCTACCGCTCTTGCTTCTGGTTTAGATCCTTTCCTTTACAAATGGAGAAACTGACACTCATAGAGTGAGGGGCTTGCCTGAGGTGCCACAGCTGGGCAGGAACAGATCTGGGAGCAAAACCAATACTGGCTAGTTCTTTGGCCAGTGCTGTGATCGCTGTGTAGATGTTCCCAACTATGGGGAAGGCTGGGAATAGAGGGCTGAAGGACCAGCTGGCTCCTGTTTTCTAGACAAGGGGTCCTACAACCCAGCAGATGGCTGACCCCTCAAGCAGGAGGAAAGAGGGAACTTCCGTAGGCATATGGGAATCTGCAGCAACCCCCACCCCCAAACCAAGGGCACCCTGGGTTTGGTTACTGGAGTAGGGGATTGGGAACTCAGAGGAAGGGCTGGCCATTGTATTAGGCAGGGGCTCAACAGGTTGAATAAAGCCATCCACTGACCTTGCCTTATATCTCAACTGGCTGGACTGTGAACCTGTTGTCAAAGCCCCACCAGGCCTTCCTCAGTGTTAGAGGCTGAGCAGCTAGCAGAAGTGTCTGCACTTGCTACACTGATCCATCTCCCCACCCTCAGGAGGTTATGGGGCAGATCAGACAGAATTCCTTGTTAGCAAAACTGGAAATTCTTAGGTGTGGGTGCAGCCATGGCAGCCTAGGGGTTCCTAGCTCGGGGTTCCTGCATTTATGGAAGCCAGAGCCAGAAACCACTCGGTTGAGAGGTGACCTTGCTGTCCAGTCCTCACCCCATCCCCCTTGCTCACATGACTCCCTAGTGGAGGGCCCTCTCAGCCCCTAGACCGCAGCTCAGCATGTCAGCCTCCAACTGTTTTTCTGTGACTGTTGCTCGCCGTGTAGGCTGCTAAACATCTGGCTGAACCAAGCGTTCATCCTGACCTGAAGCTAGAACCTCAGAAACAAAAGTAAGGCCTGCTCATGCCCTCGCCCCACTGCCCCAGAGACCTCCTCGTCTCTTTGGTGTTTTGTTTTCTACTTTTATTTTTCGTTTCTGTGTGTCTGCATGGAATTTTTCGGGCAGCAGCTCCTGCCATCATCACCAGATGTTTTTCTGCCTGCTCTCCTGAGCGGGGCCACCTCGGAAGCCCTTCCTGCTGGTCATGCGGGAGCAGTCCCGCCCTCTTTTTTTCTGTCCCCATTGGTAATCTGCGTGCACGTGTTTTCCGCAGTAAAACCGTGTTGTGTAACTCTTTCCAGCAAAGTAACAATCCGCCATTACAAAGGTCGTCCTCCTTGATCCAGTTAACGAGTCAGAACTCTTCTCCCAATCAGCAGAGAGCCCCGCAGGTCATCGGGGTCATGCAGAGTCAAAACAGCAGTGCAGGCAACCGGGGACCCCGGCCGCTGGAGCAGGTCACCTGTTACAAGGTGAGTCTTAGGGTTGGAGGGTGGGGAAGGGTCTTCACAGTCATTGGCTGTTCACTTATTCCCCAAATAATTAATTTTGAAAAATGAAAATAATCTTTGTTTTTGCTGATTGTAAAAGTGGGCCCTAGCCAGTGGTTAGAGTGTCGGTCTGCGGACTGATGAGTCGCGGGTTAGATTATGGTCAAGGGCACATACCTTGGTTGCGGTTCATCCCGGCCCTGGTCAGGGTTGTGCGGGAGGCAACCAGTTGATGTGTCTCTCTCACATCGATATTTCTCTAGCTCTCCCTCTCACCCCCCCCCCCCACTCTATCTGAACAAAAATGGAAAGAATATCCTTGGGAGAGGATTAAGAAAAAGAAAAGGTAAAAGTGGGCCACTATGGTGGGCTAGAAGCCATCCTACTTTCTTCCACAACACATCAAGGCCAGGTGAATGATTAAGCACACACTGTTCAATGAATGGAGTGTACTTGCCAAAAAGAGGGAGGGAAATCTGTCAAAGGCTAGGAACAAAGTAGAAGCACGAATCTGGGGACAAGAATGAGCCCTGAAGCCCCTGGTTGTCCTCAGATCCTGCGTGGGCACACTCAAGGGAGAGGTTCTAAGCTTTAGGCCCACACAGAGAAATCAGAATACTTTTCTCACCCCCTGCACACACACGCATGCATAAAATAGGATACTCTGGGAAAGAGTAAACTTTTTTAAAATCCCTCTAGGAAACGTGTGTCCTTCTGGGCTCTGGATGGAAAGGAGTGGGGGAGTCCCTTGAGAGTTTAGTCATTGGCAAGCCCTTCCATGTGTTTGGGCCTGTATTCATGCTGTTGGTGAGGGTTAAAAAGCTAGTTTTCTCCCCTAAAACAGCCCCAGATGGGCTCTTGGCATCTGGCTATTTGAGGAATTTATTCTCCACCCAGATTACACAGAATCCTCACAGCTAGAGTTCTGAAGAATGAGTTCACAATTAGAAATCACAAAACGGCCCTGGCCGGTTTGGCTTAGCGGTTAGAGCATCGGCCCAGAGAAATCACAAAACAGAAACAAGCAAAGTTAGTACATACTTTTAAAAAAAAACTTATGATATAGAAGTGTTCAGGATACAAAGAGTGCTATTCCTTACTCCCACCTTTTCTAAAACAGCCACTTTATTCAGTATATTCTATTCTGATGTTTTTTGGTTTTGGTACCCCTTTACACTTCAAAATCCCTAAAGGGGACCCCACAAGGGACCTCTGGACCCCACTTGGAAAACTGCCCGTCTAAACTTTTATTCACTTAAATACAAGAACAGTATGTATTAATACAAACAGGGCCCTAGTATCTATAATGTTCTATAGTCTTTTTCTCTTTATACTATAGATCTTTATCAGTATATGTAAATATAATCTTTTTCAGTGACTACACAATATAACCATAATTTATTTTACCAGTTCTCTGTTGATAGACAATTAAGTTATAATTTTTGCAGCTAAAAACAGTGCTGAATTTGATACTTCGACATTTGTGAGCTCTTGTCTGATGATGTCAGCAGCATCCATGCCTGCAAATAGAAGGGCCAAGTCAAAAGGCATATATTTAAAATGTTCATAGAAAAGCCAGCCCACTGGACACTTCCCATGGCAATCACACTCTCACTGAACACCTGCTCTGTGCCAGCTCTGCTGAGGAAACAAAGACTGCTTGCTGCCCTGTGCTGGGAGGGCTATTTGTTCTCAGGGGAAGGAAAGGCTGATGCACAGGATTCAGGGAAGGTCTCAGATTTCTGAGCCTGAGCCATGGACAGGTGAGGAGAGTAGAGAGGAGGGTGTGAAGTGAGGCAAATGAGGGTGTCTGTCCTGTGCAGAGCAGTGTCCAGCCCGTCAGTTCTCTAGTACAGTGAGGAAACTTCGGCGTCCTGAAGCAGCATAGCTGTCATCTTGCCTTCCTGCAGGACTCTTCAGCAGGGTTTCTCTGAAGCAAGCTTTCTAAGTCCTGGAACCTTAGAAAGCTGGGGTGAGGACCTGCCAACCTCTTCTTACCAGGGGTGCTTTGCAGATGTCTGGGAATCCTGGATTCCCCAGGAACAGCTGTAGAGGCTGATGGACATGCCAAGTGTCATGAATAGGTCCACAGAGTCCCTCCCTGTGGTCATCACATCTGGCAGAACTGGCAGCTACATAGGCCACTTGTCCACACAGGTCACATGTACAAATAAGAAAAACTTGAAAACAGAAGGACAGCAGGATCAGGAATAGAACAGCCACGAGTTCAGCAGTGGTGACCAAGTAGAGCCCTGCTCTCCAGGCTGAGGAAGCAGGGACTGGGAGGGCAATGGGTGGGTTAGTGCAGAGTGGGTGCCCCCGCTACTACCTCCAGACCCCTTGTTTGGTACTTGAGGCTGCCATTCACTTCCTTTCTTAGAATTCTGTTTTTTGAGGAGCAACAAGATTGAATGAAGGGAAATTAAGGCAGAACTGGATAATCAGAGCCAGGACAAATCAGGGTCAGTGCTAGATTTTTAAGGCAATTAAAAGGTCTGTTCACCCAAGTTTAACCATTGTCCCATCTCTGATCCTGTGACCAAAACCAGTCCCCAGGGGTAGCTTAGGCAGATGTGCAAGAACCAGGGGGGAAAATCTGGGTGCAGCCCACACTCAGTGTCCACAGCAATGAATCCCTCCCTGCATTGGGGAAGGAGCCTGGTGGCTTCTCTCTGTGTTCCCTCCTATCTCCAGGAAGTCCCAGAATGGTGCCTCACAGGTAAGTGACTGGTCAGGCATGCAGAGGGGCTTGATACTTGAACAGGTGGGGGACTCTGGTGCCATGGGCTTCTCCTTCCTGCCACCCACTGTGAGAGCCCTTCTGTGGGCAGGCCCCATGTACTGTGTGCTCAGTTCATCTAGCTGCAGCACTCTCCCATCTGACGAGTTGTTGACTGCAATTTCTGTACCACCGTGCCTTCTGTAGCTTTTTCCTTCGTATTTGAATGAAACTACCACTGAGAATTTCAGAGTCCCTGTTCGCAACCTGGTTTCTGGTGGGTGCTGCCTTCATTGAAAACTGCATTTGAAAACAGTGTTGTCTTTTTGTTTTTGTTTTTTGTCTTCTTCCCTTCCTGCTGTTCCCAGTGTGGTGAAAAAGGACACTACGCCAACAGATGCACCAAAGGGCACTTGGCCTTTCTCAGTGGACAATGACAGCAGCTGGAAACAGCTCAGAGCAGCCCAAGGGGCCCCGTTTTGGGGACCACTCTGGGACATCCTTGGGATTGTGCATTTAACTGTTCAATGCCAGTGTTAGTGCAACTCTGGCTGGAGCTGGCAGGCAAGCACACTGGGGTTTATCAGTCTGAGGGGCTACGTCTGTCAGTTTCCCTATCATTTTGCTGTAATCTCTTTTTTTAAAAAGGGGACATGTGCTCCAGTTCTGTCCCTCAAGTCAGCATCATGTTTGTCTGGGCATCAACACCTCCTGTCTGGGACTTCCTGAACACCGCCCTCTGGAGAGGGGAGGAAGTTGTGGGGAAGAGCTTGTGCTAAGCAGTTCTGTATGAAAGATGGCCCTTCCCCTTGGGCCTCATTAAACACCAGTTCTTGGTGACCCAAGGGGCTGGTGGGTCATTAAAGCTGCGGCCAGGTCATTCCTGCTTCCTCCATGTCCTGCTGAATTCAGAAGCTGTGCCTATCAATGTGATTTGAATGAGGCAGCCCTTCAGGGCAAACTCGGGTGGGCTTGTTGCCTCAGCCTGGTCCTGTTCCAAGGTGGCAGTGATTGAGAGGAGGGGTGCAGGGCTCTCAAGCGTGAGGGTCTTTTTCCTCTGGGCTTATTTTCTTGGAGCACATGCTTGACAGTGTTTAAGGTATACCTTAAGCTGGGGCTGCAGACCACCCCATAAAAAGCTGACATGGTCCACCTGTGCACCTACCTCCTGCTCCATCAAGCGTCTGTACTGTCTGTCACTCAGATACCTTTTGGCCTATGGAGACCACCTTGAGCCTGGAAATGTGAAACCGTCACCTGGAACCTGCTAGGCAAGGGGCCTACCCAAGTTCAATTATAAGAACAATTTTTATGAGTTTGATTAAAGCTTGTTTTTTAAGTTGTGTCTCATTACTTCAGACTCCATGCCAAGGAGATGCTTTTGCTACTGGCTGCATTAGCTGCCTGGCATGAAGCTTTGGTATTGGTGCCTGCTTGTCCCCTTTCAACAAATGAATCTCCAGAGGGGAAGTGATGCTGCCAGTGAAAGGCCTTTTTACTGGCAGCTAGAAAAGTCTGGAAGCTTGGCCCTGGCCTGTTTGCTCAATGGTTAGAGCATCAGCCTGCGGACCAATGAGTCACGGATTTGATTCCGGCCAAGGGCACGTACCTCAGTTATGGTTCTTCCCCAGCCCTGGTTGGGTCGTGCGGAAAGCGGCCAGTCAATGTAGCTCTATCACATAAATGTTTCTGTCTGTCTCTCTCCCTCCCACTCTATCTGGTGATAAATAGAAAAGTATCCTCAGGTGGGGAATAAAAAAAAGAAAAGTCTGGAAGCTTGGGCTTTGGAACAGTCACCTAGACAGGTCTCCTTCATCTCAAATGTTGGATGGATGTTATGCAAATTCAGGTCTTCTAGGAGATAATTAGCTATAGCATCTCATTCTCTTATATTCCATGCAGTATATAGGCTCACTATACACCCCTCAGCAAGAAACCAGTCATGTCACTGAACTGAAGGCCTTTGATGAAAGTAAGGAAAAAAGCTAGATGTGGGCTGTCAGGGCTTTGCTTTCCCTCCCACTGATACCCTGGGGTAATGTAAAACAATGGTGGGGAAGGCATTCTGGGGAACGCAGGGCTTCTGCTTTATACTGTAAAAGTGTCAGGTGACAAAAGGTCAAAAGTGCTTAGGACACACACACATACACACACACCCTGCCAGTGAGCTGGGACAAAATCCCAGTCATATAGGTCCCCACATAGGCTCCATGGCTCAAATCCCTGGGGCTGTCTGACAGTCCCCCTTTGGGAGTGGTAAAGCAATGTCATCCCACCTTGTGCAAGAGGTCCTCCTGGAGTGGAGGGAAATGCCAAATCAGTGAAGCAGCCCAGTACCAGCCATCTTTTATTAGGTGTTAATTACAATATGAAAGGATTTAGAGGTGCTGGGCAAAGGTCATAGTCAGGAATGTGGAGTCCACACTGGGCCCTCTTCAGTGGTACTTGCGTCTTCGCTCATGTTCTGAAGTTAGAAAAGCAAAATGGTAAGTTTCTTAAAAGGTACAATGAAAGTACAAGATAAGAGGGAGAATGCTGGGCTAAAATCACATAAAGCCATCCTGAGAATCTCTTTCAGGAAATGACTTGGAACCTGCCAGCCAGAGTCTCAGCAGAATTGCTGACCTGGAGACATGAAGGCACCTAAGGTGCTCATCTGCCCCCTGGTCAGCCTCTTCTTCCCAGAAAGAACACCTACTCAGACAAACATACCCCAAGAACCTGTCCAGTACTTTGAAGCTAGCATCACCCCAGATGCCACAGACAGGCAGGGGGCTGGATGCTGTCAGAAACAGCCATGAAACCCAATCAGTGGCCACCAATGATGTTTCTGATATCTCCCACTGGACAAGCTCCTTCTTGGGTCTCAGAACCAGGAACAACTATGTTTCTCCAGAGCACTGCACAGACATCAGATAGTACCACTCAACTTATATTCCTCTTTGCATGGGCTGCGAGGAAAATAAAGCTAAATTTTCCCATCAACCTTTGGCAGAGCCAGCAGTATCTTGAAATACCCCAGCTGCATCTTATTTTTCCTGTGTATTTTCTCTCTGCCACAATTTTCTCACTTAAGATAATATCCTAAATACTACATTCTGACATGTCCCTCCAATTCTTCAGCTGTTAGTAGAATGATGGATTTCTAAATCTGACAGTAAGCCAATGCCACCCTTTCATGGGAAACCCCACTGAAGGCAAGGTAACCCGAGACACTTACTTAGTTCCTTATAAGAACGGCAGTAGTTGAAAAGCACATAAGCTGCCAGCACCATAGAAACCCCAGCAACGCTCCCTTTCTTCACATTGATATACTTGTTGTAATACCTGTAGTAACCTGCAAACAGGAGAAGAAGTCACTGCCCTGCTTTGCTGTGAATGCATCATGCAGTGCAAAGTTGAGTCTGGCTTAAATTCAGGGATCCAGCCCTGCTTGGCTCTTTAAGCCACTGACCCTACATTCATGGGTTGCTAAAAGGGAAAAGCGCAAATGCCCCATAGAATCTTGGGTCCCCACAAACCCAGAAGCTCCAGCTAGGTCTACCTTAATTTCGCCCCTACACTTTGGCCTTGACTTTGTAGATTTAGTTCAGCCTGTCAGCCCTTGATCCTACCTCACCCTCACCTCCAGCCCTAATTCTGAGAATCCAACTCCCAATAAGGGCCACTCAGGAAGGAAGGCTTTGTGTGTTTCTCTTTACTAAGTGCTCCCATGAGTGAGGAAACAATATCTGCTCTCTTGGGGCTCAAGGCCTAATAGATAGAAAAATACTGAAATGATCATAGAAGGCCACAGATTACAAATGTGAGGGAGGGATGCCATGAAGAAGCACAGCAGGGAGCTGTGAGCATGAACAGGCCACATTCACTTCCACTGAGGAGTCCGGAACTATTGTAGGAGGGAAAGGTAGAGTATTCTGATCTGAAGGCAAAACTGAACAAAGGCCTCAGGGCAGGAGGAAAAATGGCACACAAAAGACAGCCACAGGGAGGCCAGAATTCAAAAGAAAAACACAGAAGAGGTGCCCTGAGGAGGCTGGAGACCATGCAGGCCCATGAATGATGTGGGTCTTTATTCTTGGAACATGACAAGGGTTCCACAGGATAAATCTGACTAGCTGTGCACTTTAAAATGCACAGACATGAAGGACAGACCATTTCAAATATTCATCGTAGAAGTTTGGCCTGGCAGATGAGCATTATACTTTGATGTCCACTATGCTTCACTCATTTTCCTCTTAAAGAAGTCTAATGATGCAAAAATGCTCATAGACATTTCTCTAAGTTGAAGGCAATGGTACTGATTCCAAGCAATAGAAAACATTTGCTTGGCTGAAATATCTCAGAGCCAGTCTTTGACAGCACCAAACATGGAAATTCAAAAGGTACCAATCTCTTTGTCTACAAAACTTACTAATCTGAGACAAGGCCAAAATTAATTCAGAGGAGAAAAAAACCTGGAGAACCAGATATTTGCTTTTGTTTGCACATGTCCAAAAGGCTCTGACCTCTTTGAAATGCTCCAGCAATGCCTTTAGGGGTGAAATCCCGCATCAGTATCCAGCTTGGCAGCTCCCCTATTTTGACATCCATGAGTCTCTTCTCCTTCAATGGTACTGATTAGGAAAAGCAGAAAAATAAACACACTGAAAAATGTCCCAATAATACAAATAGCATCCTTTTATGTCACTTATTTCAACCATTCAATAAAGGGGCATTCAAAAACATTACTAACATAGAGGCTAGATATAAATAATACGGAGAAACTGCTGTAGTGACAGATTTATTAATAACCAGGATTTTAAATAACAGCTTGCTGGGAATAACTATCTAAAAAGAGAACTAAGGGCCATGAGGAAGAAAGTAGTAAAGTGGAGGATAGAATAGAAAGATTACTACAAAACTAGTATTTACATATATTAGCTCATTTAATCTTTGAAGCAAGTAGTTGATGCCAGGTTGGGGGGTGGGCAATTCAAACAGCATGCAGGCAACGGAGGCAGGACTCAACCTCAGGTCTGGTCCCCACACTCCTAAAGCTGATCTGATTTCTATCTTAAGCATCCTACCTGGGACCAAAGATGTCAAATAACAGTAAGAACCACCCTACATGATCCCATGGGCCTCAGATTATATTTCAATGGGTCTACAGACTGGGCAGGAAGTGCTCCTAGTTGAGGTCATACTGTACTCATCTCTGGGCTTTTGAGTAAAATAGGAAGGAGACCAGGGAGGGAATGGAAAGGGGGATGGAGCTATGAGTGTCCAGATGCTCATGAAGGAATGGTCTCCCTTTTCCCTGTCCTCTATCAGAGGTCAACTTTAGAAAGCAGCTTAGTAGGTGTCCTCTTCAGGGCAAGGAGTCAAGGACTAAACTCCCTTCTTAAAGATGACCGGCCACAGGAGAAGCAGACTAAATCACTACAAGGTTTCTTTTCCATTTTGGGGTCCAAGGAAAGACTAACGTTCCCTAATGGCCAGCCTCAAGAGTCCACTGAGGGGAATCCCACAGATATCCTGACATCTCCCAACCTTTAACAAGAGCAAGGGCTGTCAGGCCATAAAGAGAAATGCAAGGCTTAACAGCAGCTTCTAATCTTCTATATGTCATCTGGAGAACCAAGCCCCTGGCCTTGATGGACCAGAATGAGTGCTTGTCACAACATGCCACAACTGACAGGTGGAGGCATACACCTGTGACTTGCATACATGGTTTAAGAGTTAGGGCTTAGGCTACCCATCCCATACTGTCCCAACCTTCCACCTAGATTCATCCAATAAATATGGAGCATATGCCAGGTAGCACACCAAGCACTGTGGATACAGCATGGACCACAGACAAGAGCCTTGTTCTCAGGAGCTAACATTCTATGGGGGAAGAAAACCATCTCATATCCATTCATCTTCCTGGGCTCACCACACTTGAGCCAAAACCCTTTGTTTCTCATATGCAACAGAACTATTTTCACTGAGTGTGTTTGCATTTGCAGTGCCCCGGACTCATCGTAAGGCTATCTCAACTTTTTATTTTTTAATCCTCACCCGAGGATATTTTTACATTTATCTGCAGATAGAGTGGGAGGGAGGGAGGGAAGGAGGGGGGGAAGGGAGGGGGGAGAGAGAGAGAGAGAGAGAGAGAGAGAGATCGATTTGAGAGAAACACTTCGACTGGCTGCCACCCACACGACCCTAACCGGGGCCAGGGACAAACTGCAACCAAGGTACGTGCCCTTGGCTGGAATCGAACCTGGGACTCTTTGGTCTGCAGCCCGACGCTCTGACCACTGAGCCAAACCAGCCAGGGCAAGGTTATCTAAACTTAAATGCCATCTCCTATAAGGCCGCCTCCTTGACCTCCTTATCTCAAATGCCGGCATTTCCTTTCTATATAATCTGTGAGCTCATTCCCTCTTCTGTAAAGTGGTTTATTCCAAGGATTGAATGAAAATCTATGTAAAGCATTTGGAACACTGCTCAGAATTGCAAACTATTATTATTACTATGTAAATCTCATTAAGGTCTACATGAAACATTTATTTTTAAAGGAGAAGAGTAGCCCTGGCCATTTTGCTCAGTGGTTACAGCATCAGCCTGGGGACCAAAGAGTTGAGGGTTCAATTCCAGTCAAGGGCACATACCTCAGTTTCGGTTCCATCCCCAGCCCTGGTAGGGGTATATAGGAGGCAACCAGTCTCTCTCACATCAATGTTTCTCTCTCTCTCTCTCATTCCACTCTATCTGAAGATAAATGGAAAAATATCCTCGGGTAAGGATTTAAAAACAAATAAATAAAAATAAAAGAAGAGCAGAAGGAGAAAGCACATAAACCAACCTTTATTTTAAATTTTATTTTATTTTATTGATTTTTGAGAGGAAGAGCGAGATAGAAACATTGATGAGAGAGAACATCGATTGGCCACCTCCTGCATGCCCCCCACTGGGGATTTGGTCCAAAACCTGGGCACGTGCCCTGATCAGGAATCAAACCAGCAACCTGTTGGTGCATGTGTCAACGCTCAACCACTGAGCCACACTGGCTAGACTTTTAGGACATTTTAACAACATAGGATTTCTAGGATTAATCTCACCCTTTAGTCATTTTACAAACAGAAAACTGTGATTAGTTTAGTTATATATATACATTTATACACACACACACACACACACACATTTTTATCCTCACCCAAGGACATTTTTATATTTATCTTCAGATAGAGCGGAAGGGAGAGAGGGAGGAAGAGAAAGAGAGAAACATCAACGTGAGAGAGACACATCGACTGGTTGCCACCCACACAACCCCAACTGGGGCTGGGGCCAAACTGCAACTGAGGTACTTGCCCTTAGCAGGAACCGAACCCAGGTCTTTCTGATCCGCGGGCCGACGCTCTCACCGCTGAGCCAAACTGGCCAGGGCAGTTTAGTAATATTTTTGAAATGTCAGATAGTCTCAAATGAATTTTAAGATATGTTCCAAATCTCTGTTGGAGAGTTTCCTGTCAATGATATTAAGCTCGACGCCAAACAATGTTCTCCAAAAATTACCTATACCTTTCTCTGTCACCTTGCCTGTGTTATTTTCAGAAATGATTAATAAATACATATCTTACACCCCAGGTTTGTTTGTTTTAAAATATTTTTTCTTTATTGGTTTTTAGAGAGAGAGGAAGGGAAAGGGAGAGGCAGAAACATACATGAGGGAGAACATCAATTGGCTACCTCCTGTATGCCCTGCACTGGGGATTGGGCCCACAACCTGGATATATGGCCTAACCAGGAATAAAACCAGCAACATGTTGGAGCATGGATCGATGCTTAACCACTGGGCCACACCAGCTGGGCCCAGGTTTGCCTTTATTTGAATTGGCAGGCTTTTAGTCCAAGGATTACTATACCACATTTCTTCTTAAATAAGAACATGGTAGCGTTGGCTGGTGTGGCTCAGTTGGTTGAGGACTGTCCTGTGCACACCAAGAGGTTACTGGTTCAATTCCCATTCAGAACACATGCGTGGGTTGTGGGCTCAATCCCCAGTAGGGGGCATGCAGGAGGCATCTGACTGATGGTTCACTCTCCTCTTTTTCATCCATGTTTCTCTCCGCCCCCCTCTTCTTCTTGCTCTCTAAAAATTAAAAAAACAAACAAAACATTTTTAGCCCTGGCCAGTTTGGCTCAGCGGTTAGAGCGTCGGCCTGCAGTCCAGAGAGACCCGGTTCAGTTCCTGCTAAGGGCACGTACCTCGGTTGCAGTTTGTCCCTGGCCCTGGTTGGGGTCATGTGGGTGGCAACCAGTCAATGTGTCTCTCTCATGTTGATGTATCTCTCTCTCTGTCTCTCTCTTCCTCCCTCTCCCTTCCCGCTCTATCTGAAGATAAATACAAAAATGTCCTCGGGTGAGGATAAAAAAAAACAAACACACTTTTAAAATAATAAAAGATATCTGACTTTAAAAAATACATAGTAATACCTTTGCTACACTCTCAAAGCCTCCTTGCATACAGTAAGGAGTGCAAACATGTCATTCTAAAACCAGCTCTGGCCTGGCCGGGTTAGAGCATCAGCCTGTGGTCCAGAGAGACCTGGGTTCAGTTCCCGCTGAGGGCAGGTACCATGGTTGCAGTTTGTCCCTGGCCCTGGTTGTGTTGTGTGGGTGGCAACCACTCGATGTGTCCCTTTCATGTTGATGTTTCTCTCTCTCTTCCTCTCTCTCCCTCCTACTCTATCTGAACACAAAATGGAAAAATGTCCTCAGGTGAGGATAAAAATAAATACATACATACATACATACATACGTAAAACCAGCTCTGGCTTTAAATATGGCATTGTGGTTGAGGAGTGATGATGAAGGTACAGATGGAACTAGAATAGCACAATGTTGCTAACTGCTGACATGGGATAATGAGTACAAAGTGCTCATTATATTATTCTGCTTCCTTTTTATTTGAAATCTTCCAAAATAAAAGTTTAAAAGTGCTTTTAAAAACTATTAGAGGAAATACACAAAAGAAAATCAGTATTTTTTTTTCTTTACAGAGACAGAGGAAGGAAAAGGGAGAGAGAGATAGAAACATCGATAAGGGAGAACATTGACTGGCCACCTCCTGCATGCCCCCCACTGGGGATTTGGCCCACAACCTGGGCATGTGCCCTGACCAGGAATCAAACTGGTGACCTCTTGGTACATGGGTTGACGTTCAACCACTGAACCAAAACGGCCAATTTTAAATCAAAGTATTTTTGACTGGTATAAGGCTGGCGGCTCAAAAAGTAATAATCAGGCCACTTCTAAGCCCACTGAAGCTATTTTTTTCACATTCACACAAACTATGAAAACACATTCTGCATTCTCATGTCCACATTCAGGAGATAGCATGATGCCTTGGCACACCAAAGCGGAAAAAAGGCCAACAATTTAAAACTTATTTTCTACACATTTATATCTCTGTACTATGAAGGCAAGAGCATTTCCTTAACCAAAAGCACAGGGGGGAAAATCACATTACTTTTAACAAGTACAACACCATCACAAAACTCCAAGGGGCAATCAGATTCATTAGAGATATATCTACACTTATTCCAAGAACTTCTCTTTTAGTGGAAGACAAAGGCCTCACTGGCAGCCATAATGGAACCCTCCCTCAACACTGCTGTGCTGTGCTGCACATCCCTCTGCAGCCACTGGTTCCCAACAGTAGAGTGTGGTGATCACAGAGCAGACTCTAGAGTCCAGTATTCTGAGTTTTGTGTCACTTTGTAGCTGTGTGATCTTGGGCAAGTCACTGCTCTCTCTGTGCCTCAGTTTCCACCTTTGTAAAATAAGGATAAGAATAGTACCCGCCATGGTACTTGGCTTTAGGTACTGTGTAAATGGGAATTATTATCATTTGTCTTTCTGCTTATGAACTATCTGAAAGTGGGAGCATCCATACACACAGTTCCTGGTCATGACAGATTTTCAGTGAAGACTGTGGAAGGACCACAACTCTGGCCTGATTTTATGACTTCAAGAAGCATACTGGGTGGTGTGGCTCAATTGGTTAGGCATCATTCCCTGCACCAAGTGGTTGCTGGTTCAATTCCTGGTCAGGGCACATACCTGGGTTTCAGTCTTGATCTCAAGTAGGGAACATGCAGGAGGCAGCCAATGTTACCCTCTCACATAGATGTTTCTCTCTTGTCCCTTCCTCTCACTCTAAAAAAAAAAATCAATGAACTACTGATACTGTGTGTTGTTGTTTTTTTTATTGCCTTTTTTTTATTTTTTGGTACGTGCCCCTAGCGGAAACCGAACCCAGGACTCTCTGGTCCGCAGGCTGATGCTCCAACCGCTGAGCCAAACCGGCCAGGGCTGTTTATTTTTTAAAAAAGCATACTGTTCACTTATATGAAGAGGCACGAAAATGCCAAGTGTCTTCTGGGTACTAAATCTAACCCAAAGGTTTGCCAGAGAGTAGAGTTTAGGCTTTGCAAGCCACACAAGGCCTCTGTAACACAGTCTTCTTTTTCTAAACAAATTTATTTATTTTTGTTAATCCCTACCTGAGGATATTTTTCCATTGATTTTTAGAAAGAGTGAAAGGGAGGGAGGCAGAAAGAGAGAAACACTAATGTGAGAGAGACACATCAATTGGTTACCTCCCACAGAACCCCGAATGGGGCCTGGGATCCAACCTTCCACCCAGTCACGTGCCCTTGACTAGGAATCTGACCCTTGACCCTCGGTCCTCGGATCCACATTCTAAACACTGAGATAAACCAGCCAGGGCTCTAAACAGATTTTTAAAAAACATAAAATCCTTCCTTCACGCAGACAAAAACAGGCCTCAGGAAATTCAGCGTATTGGCCGTAGTTTGCCAACCCCTGATCTCATCTATTGCTATTAATTCCTATTTTCATCACTTTATTTGCTAATGAACTATTAGTTTAATGCTCTGGTAACAGATATCATCTACAAAGTCATCAGTAGTGAAGAGACTTGGACTTCAATTCCTTTTCTTAGGGTGATGCTGAATGGACCAGATGTGACAGGATCATGCTCAACTGAGATAAGTAGCACTCACCTGTGCACCTGGCAGTGTTCCAAGTATCTTATATGTACTAAATTTTTAAATCCTTAGTCCATAGTGCTCTTCACAACAACCCTTTGGTTATATAAGACACCAAGTCTCAATGCTTCCTTTTCACATATTGTCTTATTTAAACAACAAAACCACCTACTGAATATTCTCATGCCCGTTTTTACAGATGGGAAAAACAGCACCATTCTCATCTTTCCTGATCCCCTCTTCATTTATACAGTCTGAGATTAAGAATATAGAAACTGGGTTGAGGATAATCAAAACTCTGACAGTATCGTGCGGTTGTGCACAGTCCGATGAGTGTAAAAATTCATACACACATGTCACGGAAAAGCCTGCTAGTTCCAAGATTATCCATTTGTGATTCATGCTCAGTTTACCACGAAGCCCCAAACTCCTAGGTTTGACTCTCAGCTCAGTCCTCAAGTTGTGACCTTGAATAGGTCACTGCACCTCTGAAAGCCTATTCAGCGCATAAAATATATGCGTCTAACCTTCCGTTGTGCCAGGATCTGTCCTAGGCGTTAATTTAAGCTTCAGCTTTGTAAAGGACACAATCTGCACATCGGGTTCAAGTGCAAAGGGCCTGGGCCCCGGCGGGGACGAGATCAGCTACTCCTTAGCAAAGAGAGGGAGGCAGTCCCGAGGCGGCGCATTCCCAAGCCCAGAGGAGCGTCACCCGGCTGTCCTCGCCCTCCCCCTCCTCGCCACAGCCCAGCGACGCAGCACGGAGGAAAGAGAGGTCGGACAGCGCAGGACCCTGGACAAACGGTCCAGTGCGCCTCGAGTGAGGTCGCAGCGAAGGCCCTCAGCGAAAGGCAGGCGGCTCCGCAGTCCCCTCCCCTCCCGGTGCGCCCCTGAGTCCCGGACACGGCTCCAGCTTCCAATCTGATGGGCCCTAACTATGTCTCGGTGCTTACCGACTGACGCCATCTTGGAGTCCGGGGTGTCCGCTCCGCGGGGCCGCGCGAGGACTGCTGGGTAGGGCGCACGCGCCCCGGGGTCGCGAGAACAGAGGCTCACGGGAAGCAGGTCGCGACTGACGCTCAGCTGGTTGGCTGCAAGTGCTCCACAGGGCGAAGGGCGATGTCTCTGGAGGGCAAAGCCCCAGGACCCCCTCAATTGGGGGCGGGGATAAAGGCAATAGGGCTCAGCCTGGGCTCCCCGTCCTAGGAAGGAATAAAAAAAAAAAAATGGAAGTGAAAGGAAAAGAATACCCTGGCTTTCTTAACCATGTCACCTTAAATTTGTTGTAAAAAGTGACAGGAGCGTATCAAAATCCGCCCTCCCTATTGTACTGGATGGAAGGTGAGCTCCAATTCTCAAGGAATTCCCAGTCACCGGGAAAAGTTTTGTCTATCCAGGTTTAAACGCCAAGTAGGTTTGACTCAAGAGTACCTGTATGTGTCCCAGCTCTGGGCTGGGCTCTAAGTACAGAGGTATGCAAGACCCCAGGGGTTCATAGCTCTAGCCCTTCTGTTTGCCAGATCTTTTCCAGGCACAATGATGCCTGACCGCGCGCGCGCGCGTGTGTGTGTGTGTGTGTGTGTGTGTGTGTGTGTGTGTGTGTAAAGGCTATGTTAACCATTGCTGGTTAAGCAGTTCTGACTTGGGTGTGATTCAATAACCATTTGCTGGTTAAGCAGTTCTGATTTGGGTGTGATTCAATATCCTGAATCTCAGTTTTCTTCTCTGTAAAATAGGGATGTAATGCTTACCTGGCATCCTAGTGGTAGAAATTAAATGAAACAATGTATGTGAAAATAAAGGATTAAGAACTGGTAGATAGTAGGAATTGGACCAGTAAACATAGCTTCATCAGGAAAGTGACAGGGAGGAGTTAGGAAAGTCTTATCAGCCATTTATTTATTCACCAAACACATACTGGTATGTACTGGGCACTAGGGACGTAGAAATCAGTCAGACATGGTCTTTGAGCTGTAGGATCTTTGGTATTGTGCAGGAGACAGATGTGAGCACAGCAGTAGATGTGTGCCCAGCAGGGGGCCATGGACTTTCAGTGAGAAGGAAGTCTGTGAGGATTTCAGAGAAGAGGACTTTATCTCAGCTGGCTTTTGGGAAAAAAAAAAAAAAAAAGAAGAGGTAGTTTTTAAGTGAACAAAGTGCCCAAGGGCACAACAGGCACCAGGAACTGTAAAGGCATAAAGGACTAGAGCAATGTGGTGGGTTTGGGACAGAACGGTAGCATTTGGGGAGTTCATGTTTAATAGGTACAGAGTGTATGTTTGGGATGATGATAAGGTTCTGGAAATGGTTAGTGGAGATGGCTGCAAAACAATGCGAATGGACTTAATGCCACTGAATTGTATACTTAAAAATGGTTAAAATGGGCCCTGGCCGGTTTGGCTCAGCGGTTGGAGCGTTGGCCTGCGGACCAGAGAGTCCTGGGTTCGGTTCCCGCTAGGGGCATCGCACCAAAAAAAAAAAGAAAAAAGGTTAAAATGGTAAATTTTGTGTTAGGTAAATTTTACCACACACACAAAAGTAATGAAAAGTGGCCCTGGCCGGTTTGGCTCAGCGGTTAGAGCGTCGCCCTGTGGTTCAGAGAGACCCAGGTTCAGTTCCTGCTAAGGGTATGTACCTCGGTTGCGGTTTGTCCCCGGCCCTGGTTGGTCGTGCAGGTGGCAGCCACTTGATGTGTCCCTTTCACATTGATGTTTCTCTCTCTCTCCCACTCTGAACAAAAAATGGAACAATGTCCTCAGGTGAGGATAAAAAAAATAAATTAAAAAAAAAGTAATGAAAAGTGATAGAGATAACATGAATCTGGAGAGGCAGTCAGGGATCAGAACACAAAATGCTGTGAATGCTGGGTGAAGAGTGGAACTTATCCTAAGGGCAATGGGGGGCCCGTGAGGGTTTAAGAAGAGAGTGACATGATTAAATTTACATACTTGAACAATAACCCAAGCTGCTGGGTAGAGACTAGAGGGAGAGGTAAGACTGGAAGATTCAGGCCAGCTATGTAGGAGTCACAATTCTGTAGGATGATCATATTAACAAGTATTGAGAGCTACTCTGGGCCAGGGCACTGAAGATCCTGGGAAAGCAAAGCACATAAAAATCCCTGCCCTTGTGGAGCATTTGCTCCTGAGGAGAGAGGGACAATAAACAAGTGAAATTTATAGTCAGAATGGGCCAGGTATGGCTGCAGTAGAAAAACACCTCCAAATCCCAGGGACTTATTTTAAAAAAAAGGTTATTTTTTACTGACCCTACATACCCATCACAGGTAGTCAAGAAACTCTACTTGTACTCACTCAGAAATCCAGGCTGACCAGCAGCCACCATCTCAACCAGTTGGCTCAGTTTACAGACTCATTTTGGCCTGAAGGTGCACAGGTACTTTCACACACTCTCATTGGCCTGAATTGGTCACATGGCTTTATCCCCCAGAGAGGCCAAGAGTGCAAAGCCACCTTCTGCTCCAAAGAAGGGAACCTGAGAGATATTAGGGAAATGGCCATGTGTCTAATGGTGATAAGTGGAGAAAACTAAAGCTGGGAAGGATAGGGAATGTCAGAGGAAAAAATGCAGTTGTTTTAAATAGAGCAGGCCTTCCCAGATGTGACATGAGGCAAAGGCCATTGTGGATGCTGAGTGAGCCACATGGGTGTCAAGGGAAGCAGCAGGCAGATGGGGCATGTCGCCTTGTTTACAGAAGGAAAGCAGTGGAGAGCAGTGGGCACACACATTCAGGGGAAAGATCCTCAGGGCTTTGGGGTGGACTGTGTTTGATAGGCAGTTGTGGGAAGGGGTCAAGCAGACCCCCGATGTTCTTTCTGGCCTAGGAGAAAATGGGGCATAGAACCATCTCTGAGATAGGAGCAACTATACCAGCACTGTCCCATAGAAAGTTCTTCAGTGATGGGAATGGTCTGTACCTGTGCTGTCCATCCAATTCAATAGCCACCAACCACATCTGGTTTTTGAGTGCTATTTAATTTTAATTAATGTGGCCAGTGACTACCTATTAGGTATTCCACATTTTAAAATGTAAATGTTGGCCCTGGCCAGTTTGGCTTAGCGGTTAGAGCGTCAGCCTGCAGACAGGAGAGTCCCGGGTTCTGTTCCCGCTAAGGGCCCGTACCTAGGTTGCAGTTTGTCCCTGGCCCTGGTTGGGGTGGCGACCACTCGGTGTGTCTCTCTCACATTGATGTTTCTCTCTCTCTCTTCCCACCACCTCTCCCTCTCACTCTAACTGAAGATGAATGCAAAAATGTCCTCGAGTGAGGATTAAAAAAATAAAAAATAAATAAATAAAATGTAGATTTTGGTCTGGCAGGTGTGGCTCGGTGGTTGAGCGTCGACCCATGCACCAAGAGGTTGCTGGTTCAATTCCAGGTCAGGATACATGCCCAGATTGTGGGCCCAATCCCCAGTCGGGGGCATGTAGGAGTATAGGAGGCAGCCAATCAATGTTCTCTCTCATTGATGTTTCTCTCTCTCTCTCCCTCTCCCTTCCTCTCTCTCTCTAAACTCAATAAAGGAAAAAAAATTTTTTAAAATCAAATGTAGGTTTTGCCCAGCTGGTGTGGCTCAGTGGTTGAGCATTGACCCAAGAGGTCGCTGGTTCAAGTCCCAGTCAGGGCACATGCCCAGGCTGTGGGCCAATCCCCGGGGGTGGGGTGGGGGGGCATGCAGGAGGCAGACAATCAGTGTTCTTTTTCATCAATGTTTCTATCTCTCTCTCCCTCTCCCTTCCTCTCTCTCTAAAAATCAATCAAGAAAAAAAAATTTTAATAATAAAATAAAATGTAGATTTTATTATTTCAGGTATGATGAGGTCAATAGATCAGGAATTGACTACCATCAAAAAGGCAGAGAACAGGGGAAGCACCAGGTAGATCAGGAGGCAGAAGGAGGGAAAGGAACATGTATGCAAGAGCCTTTATTGTGGTTTTCTTGGGACAGAATTGTTGAGGCAGGGTAAACATGACTAAGATTGGAAAATCTGAATAATTTCAGGAGCTCTAGTGTGTAGGCACTGGAGTGATTAGGGCAGTTTGCCTGGAGTGTAAGAGCCTATAAAGGAGGTGGTTGGGGTTTTGGCTCTAGAACGGTTGGTTTGCATTTGAAGTGTGTGCTCGCTGGTAGGCAAGTTGTTAGAACCAAATTTGGAGATTTTGAGGCCATAGTGGAACTGGGTTGCAGATAGCAGGCACAGCAGTACACAGCAGCAGGGGGCAAGTCTTGATTAGAGCTCTCTGCCTCCCATCACTTTGAAGACTGTACAGTTTTCTTCCCTATTTAAGAAAGAGCCCAATTGACTGGTGTGACTTGGTGGATTAAGCGTCACCCCATGAACTGAGACGTCCTAGTTCCCGGTTCAATTCCCGGTTAAGGCACATGCTCAATCCCCAGTGCAGGGCATGCAGGGGGGCAGCGATCGAGGTCTCTCACATCGATATTTCTCTGTCTCTCTCTCTCTCTAAAACAATCAATACAAAAATTTTTTAAAAAGAGAAAGAGCCCAATTGTGAAAACCAGAAGGATTTATGGTTACGTGAAAACTAAGAGTCCAAACAAATCCCAGGCTCACTGTGCATGGGTGTCCCCAAGACCCATGGTTTCTAAGCCCTAGCCATTCATACTCAGAAGGCAGCAGGGACAAGGGAGGGGTATTACACCCTCTGGTCTTGAGGCTCAGAGTCAGGGCAACAGGAACTCTCATACGTTGCCAGTGGGAACACAGTATGCTACAGCCACTTTGGAAGACAAGTGGTTTCTTTTTCTTTTCTTTTCTTTTTTTTTTTTTTGTCCTCACCCAAGGACACTTTTTCATTTTTTGTTCAGGTAGAGTGGGAGGGAGAGAGAGGAAGAGAGAGAGAGAGAAACATCGACATGAAAGGGACACACGAGTGGCTGCTACCCACATGACCAACCAGGGCCATTTACAAACTGCAACTGAGGTACATCCCCTTAGCGGGAACCGAACTGGGATTTCTCTGAACCACAGGCCGATGGTCTAACCGCTGAGCCAAACCAGCCAGGGCGACAGGTGGTTTCT